CAATAAATAGTGTTAAGTTCAGATCCTTCCCTGCCATATTGGCTTGTTATCATTATCAACTGTTCCAAACTCTCTCTCATGTGCTCTTGTTAAAACTTGTTTGTAGAGAACTTCAGCTTCTTTATATTTCCCTTCTTTCAGGTAACAGCTTGCCAAGTTATTCGTTGTTTTTGCAACATTTGGATCGTCTGGGCCTAACTTATTCTCATAAATTTTTAAAGCACGCTGGTAATACAATTCAACTTCTTCATATTTATTCTGAAAGATAGAAAAATATGTTAATAATAATTAAAATCTCTCCTTCACTTTCATTCTGACCTGATTCTGACAAAGGAGTGCCAAATTATTAAGTTGTTTAGCAACATCTGGATGATCTTTTCCTAAAACTTTCTCACGAATCTCGAGAGCTCGTTTGCATAATGGTTCAGCTTCTTTGTATTTACCCCGTTTGCCATATAAAACAGCCAAGTTGTTGAGTGTTGCTGCAACAGCCGGATGATTATGGCCAAGAGTCTTTTCACGAATTGTCAAAGCATCGTTTAATAGGTTTGCAGCTTCTTTATATTTATTTTGATCGCGATAAACCAAAGCAAGAATGTTTAACATTGTTGCGACATCGGGATGATCATGTCCACTGGTCTTCTCCAAATCTTCAAGAGCTTGTTTACAAAGTGGAACGGCGACTTCATAACGACCTTGCGAAGCATATTGAATGACAAGGTTGTGTAAAGTTCGCAGTCTGGCTGGAATTTCATATCCAGCATTAGCTTGATTTGCAAACTGACTGGGAGGTGTTGGAGACATGTTTCGATCTTCCTGTTCATCTTCTGGGAACAACTCGACAACTGGATCTGAACGCGATTTCTCTTCAACATTATCACCTTCTTGCACATCATCATATTTCCTAACAGAAGCCATAAACTCAAGATGTTTCTTTTCTTCTTCTAGTTGCGCTACCATTTGCTCAGAAGCTTGCAGTTTTTGTTGTGTATTTGCCAATTCATCTCTTAGCCATGCATTTTCCTGACATAATCGACGAACTTGTGTTCTAAGTTTTTGTTTTTCAGCTTCAATATTTTGCAAATGCGAAGCAAGAACAACAATAACCTTAAATCGATTTATATGTTTTATATTTTTAACTTATTAATTCATTCATTCATTTTACCTGTGCTTCACCAAGACCCAATTCTATATTTTCAATATTTTTCTGAACGATATCTGCCTTGTCCAAATCACTTTGTCCCTCACTGAGACCACCTAAGATTGACATATGCTCGACTCTTAATGCTTCCAGTCCTTGTAGGACTGTTTTGGTATTGGAAACAATTTCATCTTGGGTCATTTGAGTCATTTTGCCAAATTTTCGCTTTCTTCTGTCTAAAAAAAAATGAGTAACCTTTGTAACTTTTGATTATAAATTTAAATAGCCAACTTGGATAAGAAACGTTTCATTATCGAATATCTCAATAGTTTTTATAAGAGTTGTTTTCATATTCAAGCAAGTGGAAAGTAATTGCTACTAATTACATTTATTGTTAACCAAGTTTAACACGATTACTTTTTTAATATTTTTTTATTTAATTTCCTTTGCCTGTTCCAAGCTTAATATTGTGCAGTACAATGAAATAACGAAAAATGTTGAAGAATTAAATCACTTTCAGTCAGCCCTTAAAGAACTAGGTAGTATCAATACTTTTTGTTTTAAAGTCTGACATTAAAAATGTCTTCCAATTTAAACTTACGAAATTATTCCCTGCACAATGATTTTCGCTTGGTTTTTTATGAGTTCATTTTTAACTTTGATATTTAAGACTTCACATTCACTTTAAAATTCTCTAAACATTCTTAGTAGGCTTTACCTTTTTGTTATATCTATTAAATATGTCGTATTGTAAAAATTAAAACAAAAGTTGTGCAAACCTTAAATCAACAAATTGAAATTTTAATTCACTTGTACACAAAAGATATCACTTTCACAATTGCCACAAACTTTAATCCAATTACAAATCTTAAACTTTTCTCGAGATATTTTTAAATTATAATTCTTGAGAAAAAGAATGACAAAAAGTGATCTTACGTTAATTGTTTAACCCCTAGCGAACGCACCCAATTACAAGGGGACTCGTAGCTTTCATTCAGGGTTCTGATTTTTATGAAATTTGATTTAATCCACTAATCAATCTGTTTATTTCTCTTAATTCATATTTTAAGATCTTTAACGATATTTACTTTTTCTTGAAAAATTATAAGAATATCTTGAAATTAGTTCGTGATTTGATATGTTGTGTGTTCCACATTCCCTTCGTTACTAAACTCTTATGTTTAATAGTGTTGGTAAAGCCAAGCCGAAAGAATTGGAAAAAACCTAAAATACCCAGGAGGATAAAAGTTCATAAAGTCAAGCAATGGGAGTTGATATCGTTCCGATTTCACCTGGAGATGGTAAAGTTAAATACAAACATTAATATCTATCTAAAATCCTTTCCCATTATTCAATACAAGAAATTGAATAAAAAACCAATGTTTTTCATTCTAACCATTCGGAAAAAATATTTAAATTCTTTTTTCTTTCTTTTAAAGGAAACACTTTTCCTAAACAAGGGCAAACTGCGGTTGTTCATTATACCGGTAAGTCAGAATTAAAGTATTTATTTGAAGAAGATTCAATAAATTAAAATTTTAGGAACTCTTGATAATGGAGAGGTTTTCGATTCATCGCGCACCCGTGGAAAGCCTTTCAAGTTCAAGATTGGAAAAGGTGAAGTAATCCGTGGATGGGATGAGGGAGTCGCTCAGTTATCAGTTGGGCAACGTGCCAAGCTTGTGTGCTCTCCTGATTACGCCTATGGCTCTAGAGGACATCCTGGAATTATCCCACCCAATGCCACACTTACATTTGATGTGGAGCTTTTAAGAGTTGAATAAAAAGCAATATTCAATTCACTTTGAAATTAAAAAATACCTACTTTAAAGAAATGCATTTTGTTCTACATGTTTTTTTTCCTTGATCTTTACATCTGAAAATGAAAACACTGTCAAACCTCATTGTGAATACAAAAGGAAATTCAAAATATAATCCATACATCCGAAAAACAATGTTTATTTTTCTTTTTAGCGTTTTGTAAGTACATGATTGATGTTCTCAAAACGATCATCTCAAATCTGACGTGCTCGTAAAATCCAAACTTGCTTCAAATAGTCAAGACAGTTGTTGGTTTATGGAACTTCATACGTAACGTTTGTGGGATGTTTCTTTAAAAATTAATACATTAACATAGCTAACTAACCTAATAATGATTTGTTTTGAAGAAATCTGGATGAAGATTATAATTACTTTAGTTTATTTAGATAAAATTCCTGTTTTTTAATAGAACAAATAGCTAACAACTTCTTGAAGAAATTCTTGGGAATGAAAGAATATAAATTTTGTTTTTAATTGGAAATTATTTCTTGATTACATTTCCATAAAGATAATAAAGATTTTCTTAATAACTTTTCTCTTTTTCTCATATGTTTTTCGTCATTTTATGTTTACTTATCAAAATGATTGATATTCAAACTTTCAATTTTTTTAATGTTTTCTTCGTTAAGTTTACTTTGTTGCGCTTGTAGAAAACCGAAATTGGGAAAATGAGCTAAATTAGAGTTATTATTAAACATATTTGGTTGTCCTTGGGGAAACATTGGATTTTGTTGGACAGCATGATTGTAAAATGGAGCGGAAGGTTGCTGTTGTGGATATGCAAAGAACTGATCATTTGTAGGATTTTTAAGTTGTTGGAAGTTTGTTTGAAATGGTTGAGCATGTTGTGATACTAAATTGACACCGTTTCCATACAATGCCATAATTCTGTCCTTTGTCAACTTTTCTTTCTCCGCATGCCCATTTTCTAAAGTTTTCTGATTAAAGAAATCTTCTTCTTCCGTTTTCAAAGATGATTCATTCGATTGAAAAATCATATTATCTGAAACATCTTCTTTAATGTTATTTGATTTAGGTGTTGATTTTGTATTCATGAAGAAGTCAAAAGTCTGGTCATCTTTTAATTCCACATTCTCACCTTCTTGTTTTGATTTATTAGCATCTGTCGTGGAAGAAGTTATGTCAAGTCCTAACAAGTCCATACTGTCTGAAACCTTTTTCGTTTCTGATCTTGCATTCTTAACCGGATGAGGTTTTCGTAGTGGAGCAGGAATTTGAACATTTAAATTGCACACCATGGGTTTTGAAGTCTCTAGACTTAATGAAGATGCTGAGCATGTGGTTTTCTTTTTGCGTCTTTGATTTTCCAGTTCCTCTTCTATATCTTTATCCCAATCAACTTTCGTTATAGGTGGTGGTGGAATCCACTCTCTTGCAATGTATTTCTTATGCTCATACTTTGCCCGAATAAAACTTTCCAGTCCTGAATCCGTTTGAGGACGACGGAAGTTATCAGATAACAATGCTTCATAGACAGCACGCGCTCTCGAGTTACCCATTTGCTGCAGAGACACAACTTGTTCCGGTGCCCAAGTATCTAAGTTGACTGACTTGACGCGACTTATATGAACGCCTGCAAAATAATTCATAGATTAAATAAACATGTTAAACCAATAACCATTCATGTATGTACCTAAGTTTCTGTGAATTCCAGCACATCGTATGCAAAGGAAAATCCCCAAGTTCCAGCTGGCCCAACGAGGTCCTTTGCTGTCGCAATCGCAGCAGTATTTGTTATCTTCATCTCGGAGTAACTGAGTTAAAATCTGGAATATTTTGTTTTAAAACTATGTGATAAGAGAAACTTTTCCTGTGTGGATTGTTTTACTTGGAACCATGTGTAAGCAATTATTTATTCATCAAATTTTACACACACAAAGATAAATTAACGGAATATCATGATTAATGAATATTCTTTATTAATTTTTTCTTTTCAATGAGGGGAAGATTCAAACGAATTTCTGATTGATGATTTGAAAATCAGTGTTTTTGTTAGAAAATTTTGATGTAAAAAATTATCTATAAAATTGTGACGAATCAAAACTTACCGTATTACATTTCTCTTGAATAAGTTTCGTCTTTTTATCAGTATCTTTCTTATTCATTATTAACGTTCAAAAGACGGAGAGTTTATAGTGAGAACTAGATTATTTTTATATATTTTTCCTCCTAAATAAAAAAATCGAATTCACCAGACTTTCAACTTCTTTAATGAGGCCAACCAAAAATAATTTGCTTTCATTGAAACCTCTCTAACTCACCCTCTCAGTAGAACCCCATTATAATGTAAACGCAAGCGAAGATATCGTGAAATCTAAAGATTGAAAGAAACTAATGTTACTCTCAACTTTTCGCGACCATAAGTGCTCAGAAATTAAGAAAAAACTATATTCGTGAGAAATAAGGTGCAAGTGCTTGAAAATTACAAGACATAGAAAGTGCAGAACAAATTGCCTATAATTCCATCAGCTGCAAGTATTTATTTGATACTTAGCGAAGAAAAAGAATCAAGGCAAGAAATTTACCAAGTAAATTTAACAGGATTTATTTTTACTACTTATAAGTTTGTTGCGTTATGCATAGAATGTGTTTTTAAACAAATATTTTATCGGATACTAGAAGCAAAAAAAAGAAGAAAAAAAGTTTCCTTCCTCACATATCTTGCAGTTTATGTGCAGCACTGAATATTTGAATTGAATCAGAATCAATCAGTCTTGTGTTCATCTGCATATAAATACGATAAGCTTGAATTCCTCGAATATATGAGCCTTCTAAGCAGCTATTATAAAAAAGTCTTGTCATAAAAAATTTCATGATGGATTTCAACACTAATGTATATTAAATATATGATGGTTTCCCCGATGAGTATATGTATTAAAAAAAGCAAAATGGAATACTATAGTAAATTAACATGAAAGAGAATTTCTCAATTATTTCAAGATATTTTTGCATTAAATCTATTTCAATTTTCTCCATTAAAATATCAATTCAGATAAAAACACTTTCTCCAACCGCTGTTTTTGATATGTAACAAAAGGAAGATTTTCCCTTGCCTCAGCGGAAAAGAATGTTCATTAAAGTAAAGCAGCAAGAGCGAAGCATATTTTATGTGTATGAGTGCGTTGTGTAGACTATTGCTACATAACACAAAGCACCGATGTTCCGTAAATGAATGTGTGTGAGAAGAAAACGACAGGGCCGACGAAATAGTAAAAGAAAAACGAGCAGTCAGCATCATAATGCCCTATCGAAAATATCCCGCTTCTTTTACACCATAAATTAAAACCAAAGTATTTAATCTAATTAAGATAATATTTTCTGTAGGGATTGGATTTCGTTGGTTTACATTTCACTATAATAATTGATATTTTTGAATATGAACAACCAAAACTTTTGAATTATTTCTATCAAGTTATGTTGACTAAACTCTAAATTGGGAAAACTTTATATTAAAAAAGAGTGTAAGAAAAACAACATAATTTCACTGCAAAAGAATAAGATTATTAATCTTAAAATTGATATTTACATTTTGAATTTTTTTTTTCTTTTTTAGGTTCCAATTCTTCAACCAGACTTTGAATTGATTGTCTTGGATATTAAAATTGGATATCAGTAATTAAGTAAAAAATAATGTAAAACATCAAAGAGGTAGAATCAACATCGACATATATAAGAGAAAGAAAAACCATGAATGAAATTGACAATTCGAACGGAAACGTAACAACAGACAATCGTGAGCAGGAAATACCTTTAAATGAAAATAAATCTCCTTTATTATCATCACTATTATCATCTGCAAGACAAGAAAGCTTTTCTAATGGTCAGCAAAGTAAGATTTCATTTAAAAGAAACGATTTTTGTTTGATGGATCCAGCAACAATTGAACCAAGTTTACAACACGATGAAAATATTGCTTTCATGACAAAGAAAACAACAGTTCAGCAGCAAAAAAGTGAACCACCATCTAATGAATCTGGTCAAACGACGACGGCTGTTCATCGAAATTTTAATAATTTGAATGATTTACTTCAACGTAATAATAATAACAACAAATCATCAAGCACTGGAGAAACAACAACATCGAAATCAATTTTAGAGAATTGCTTGCTTAAGCCTTCATCACTTAAAAATCAACGCCTAGAATCTCAAAAGCTTTTCCCGAAAATGGAAGAAAGCGAATATCAACAACACCACCATCACCACCTTTCACATTCTCATAACATTGTCAATGTCAGTCCATCAACATCGGCTTCAAAAATCTCGCAGCAATCATCAGAAGACAGTCGTAAAGTGGAGCCTTTGAAGATCAGTTTAAATCGTGATCACGTTCGAGCTGTCATTAAATTTCCTCAAACACAAACATACGACAGCCTTTCAAAGACATCCTTACGTCAATTGCACGTATCAGATGAAAATGAGAAGAATATTAATCAATCTTCAACATCACCAACGCATTCACCTTCGTCGTCTCTCTCGTCCGAATCTTCGTTCGATAATTGTAACAATGATAGTACGAGTACTAATAACAGTAAACGTCATTCATCATCATCATCAATGCAAGTGATTCCAAAAGTTCACATTCGAAGTTTTCTTGATGGAACACTTAATCATGAGCAATCTGAGCTCCATATAGTGCCTAAGCTTACCATTACAGGTTTGAATTCACCACAATCTAACATCAACAATGAACAGCAACAAATTTCACATAATAATCAACAGCAATCATCAAATAACGATCATTGTACAATGATGAATTCCACAATAGAAGCAAGTCCAGTCATTCCTAAAATAACAATTAAAAAGGACAACCACACAAGCGATTACCATCTAAATACTGACACCACAAACATTATTCCAAAACGACTGACAAATAAAGCAAACAGTCAAACAAAAGAAAGTGGCGGAAAATTCACCATAAAAGCTTTTTCGGAGCCTCATGTGCCAAAGTTGACTATCAAAACTACTAACAACTCAGACACTAGTGACATGATAAGTGTAATTGAACATCAACAACATTCGATTTCGAAAAAAACTCAACAAATGTCACCAACAAAATTGACGATAAAGCCAATTTTATGTGGATCTGGTGAGCAGAAATATTCGACACCTAAGATCACCTTAAAAGCTGTCAATAATAGTGAAACAACATATGAGAAGATTGTTCCTAAAATTGTAGTTAAACTTCCAAAAGATTCATCATCTGAAAATAAGACTGAAGGAGGAAATGATTTTGTGTGTAATGTTGTTTCATCACCACCATCACCATCATCAGCTCCACCGTCACAAATACCAACATTGAATATTAAGCCTATTCTCCCACCACCCTCGAAAGATGAAAAAGATGTCATTGTTGATGTTCAATCGCCTTCAGAAGAAAACAATTTTTCTGTTGTTAATAAAGTTGTGGAATCATCGTCATCATCAGAGCCTTTAGAGATAAACACGACGAGTAGTGTCATGATAAATACAGATTCTGGTCAAGACTCTCCGAGAATTATCTTAAAAATCAATAAAGCAAATAGCGACAATTCGCTTACATCAGAAATAGTTCCTCATCCATCGACTGACATTGTGCAAAGGTCTCAAGTTGCTAATAATAAGCGAAGTCATTTTCATAGTTTCAATGATGATCGTAATCAGGATGCGTCGAAGAAAATGAAAGTTTCATCTTCTTTAATTGATGATGCTGCTGTTGATGAAGATGTTATTGTTATCAATGACAGTGACACATCATCAAATGAGACATTAAAGAAAAATCAGAGAAATGTTAAAGCAAATTCAAATGAAGAGAAAAACTCGTCAAATCCTGAAATGTTCATGTTCCGTAATCTAAGGCAGTCACGAAGAAGTAACGAATCATCATCTAAATCAGTCGAGCAACAAGAAAAACGTCAGAAAAATGCGGATAAGAGCCAACCAGTTAAAGCAATTGATCCTTTATCTTTATCGAATGATGCGATAACAAACTCAAAATCAGTTGATGAATTGGTGACACCAAAACGTGGTCGTGGTCGACCGAAAAAAGTTATCGTTGAAAATGTCACAATTAACAGCACAATAAATCCAATTGAATCATCAGAAACTCCTTCATTGGAGAAATTATCACAGGGATCATTAGCAGAGAGCAGTGTTGATGGAAACAAAGATGAGAAAGATCTGGAAAAGAAGAAATCAGGCCGGAGAGGGAGAAAACGGGGTGTACGTGGTAAAAGAATTGTTGAAATCATAAAGAATGGAAAACCAATTCAAATAACACTTGAAGGACATGATGATGATGACTCACCTTCGTTTTCCTTATACAATCGAAGTCTAAAAGATAAAGTCGGTTCAAATCGAAAGCATCGTGGTGGTGGTAAAAGTAGTCGTGCTAAGGGAAAATTGTCACATTTTTTGACTCCAGAAAGATCCAAAAATGGTCCATTTATGACACCAAACAATGAACAAAATAATCGTAGAAAACTATTCAATACACCATCGAATATTGATGAAGATACACGAATGAGTATTGGAGGTGGCGATTCATCTCAACAAGCAAGTCTCTTTAAGTCTGCTGAGTTACAATCATGTGAAGAGTCACAAAGTTCAATGATCAGTAGTGCCAGCAATACTGTTGAAGGATCATCGAAGAAACGTTCTAAAAAGATGGAAGTTTGTGAACCTGAAGGGTGAGTTTCAATTTCATTTCAATCAATTTCAAAGAAATAATTAACAAATTTCATTTCTTTTAAATTTTCAGTCGTACTGAATTCACAATCGACTTGTTGGCTGAATATGACTGGCCACAAACTGAGCAAGTAAGAAGTCGAGAAACTTTCATGATTCAAGAACAAATTGCTGAATATTTGGGTGTGAAGAGTTTCAAAAGAAAATATCCTGACTTGATGCGTCGTCCAGTTGACATGGAAGAACGAAATTATTTGTTCGAAAATGGTTTTGCATCAGAGAAGATGTGCGATTTAGGACTAACTGCCGTATTTGCGAATGAGATTCTTGACATAATGTGCAACGATTATCCCGATAAGTATGAGGAATATAAACGTTATCAAAGAGAGAAAGCATTTAAGTTTGCTCGAATAAGACTCGAGACGGCAGCTGTTGATCGAAGTCAAATGAAAAAGGATAAAGCAATTTCATCAGCCTCCGAATGGAACACAAAATTCAATAAAGATCGACGAAGTAATCGGCGATGTTGTATGGACCTTCAGAATTTTTTAATACAAAAACCAACACCGATTCGTCATTATAAAACAAAACCATCAGTTAAGAATCAATCTCATTATCCTATAGCAATGGTGCCGGGTCAATTTAGTGAATATTATGAGAAATATACTTCGCTTCAATTATCGTAAGTTCTCCTTTATTCTTTATTAACTTTACATTAATTAAATATTTATTCTTTCCTTAAAGATGCTACCCTCTTAATACAACTTTAATTGATCAAAATAAATTGGAAAGTTATTTAGCAATTCATTCAACATCATTTGAACCTAGTGAAGAAAGTGACAGTTCGGACAGCGATGATGAAGCTGAAGGAGACAACCAAAACAGCAGTAGCACGGTAAATGTTTTAATTTTGAAATAAAATTTCTCGCTTTAATCAAATATATTTTGACAATTTGAAGGATTCTGACACGTCCAGCAGTACATGCACGACAGATGATGAATTTGAAGATCCAATTTGTTGCATGTGTTTGACAACACAATTTGTGAATTGCTTTCAACAACCTGAGAAGTTTATCAAATGTTCAACATGCAAGAATCAAGGTAAGGGAATTTCATCACAATCATTTTTAAATATTTTAATTCTTTTTTCTCTTTTCAAAACAAAAGCACATCCATCATGTATTCAAATGTCGTCGCGTATGTATTTTCGATCTTTGGCTTATAAATGGCAATGCTCGAATTGTAAAACATGCAGCAAATGTCAAAAAAGAAAGGATAATAAAATGCTTTATTGCATTCAATGTGATCGAGGCTTTCATATTTATTGTCTAGGACTAAGAAATATTCCAGAAGGTAAAATTAACTTTAATTGAATTTAATTATTTTTAAATATTTCCAATTTATTATTCGTCAGGTCAATATCATTGTGACAAATGTAACATTTGTAGTGAGTGTGGAGCGAAATCACCCGAAGGACATTTTAATTCAACATTAACTCAACAGCAACGTCAAGAATTAGCAATGATTGCCCAATGGAATTATGACGTTGTGATCAATCCTTTAACAAACATCAGTGAACATCTTTCGAGTTTTTGTTTGCCTTGCTTCAGAAAATGCAGAACTACAAATTAACGTCATTAGGAAGTCATTTGACTCACGAATGGATATTTACAAAGCTACAAATATAGATAATAGGAACTGAACATATATTATAATACGTTAACTAATTTTGCTGCAAAATAGTTATAAAAAGAAATGATGAGCACAATGAATTGACGATTCATTTCGTTTAATTTAATTATTTAAAAAACCTTCAAATCTTTTTTCTTTTCAGGAGTTCCATGTCGGAACAATTTCTGTTTTTTTGTAACAATAAGTTGTATAAAGTTAATTTGGATTTGTACATTTATTAATTCTGCTTCTTCAATGTAAAAAAAGGATAAAATTTGAAAAATAAAATTTTAATGAAAAGACATCTTATCTAAAACTCAACATAAATCAGCTAACAATAAAAATTGTATTATCAAATTTTATAACTTAACACAAAAACCCCACGCAGAAAAATAGAACATTTATGAAAGATTGTGTCTCATGGTATTGAAATAAAACATAATTTTAATTATTACTTTTCAAAAAAACCATTTTTTTATTGATTTTCTCATTTCAATTTCAGTTTGAGAGTAAAAAGCACTTCAATGATCTTTTCTATGTCGGTTTGAATTTAATAAAGAAACGTATAAAAAAAAGATGCTTTCAATCGAAACAACAAAGAAATTCAAATTTATTATAATTTTTACAAATAACTATCAACGTTTATTTGAGTGATGTAAATAAATGTTTGTTACTGAAGCATTCAGTGATATTTAAATTTTGAAAATTTATTTATAAATGGTAATGGGAAAGACGAGTCAACTACCTAGTCAACCTGTTGTTCAGAATGTCTTGCATAAGTGGTAGTAGTGTGACCGTCGCTCTTCAAACACATCTTTAAATCTCTTCAGATATTCTTGAACTCTGAATCCTACCATTTTAATTATATGCTTCCTAAATTTCTTTCGGTAATTATTTTACATTCATAATCATCCTTAAAACATTACTAACGTCTCGTTATGTTCATTTCCATCATCACTTTTAACAGCTTTTCATTAAGAAATTTCCGAAAAATCCCAAAACTTGTATTGTTGGATGAGTGAGTGTATGTTTCATATAAGAAGTTAGAATTTATAAGATGATGATTGTATATTGTGAATCAGCACGCTATAAGATCTGTAACCATTGAATGTTGGTTGGAGACAAAATTAAATCATTCGCTTTGAAACAGATTGAAGAGTAATTTAATTAATTTCCTTATTGAATCATTTTCAAATAGAATTCATTTACAAATTCTTAAATGTTTGATGTGAGCATTTTTTTAGATGAGATTCATAAAATTTTTAAAAGAACTCCGGTGGCTTGTTTCTTCATCCAAGCTTTAAATTAATCAATTTTCTTTTATTTTTTATTGATTAGAAAATTGTAATTAGAATTCGTATTGATCAGTTGCAACCACAGAAGCTAGAAAGGAGGAATTACTTGCTTTTGTAATGGAAATGAGTTTGAGAGAAAGTGTTTCGCTTTCTGAAAAGTTTCACGGAGTTTCGGAGCCTTTTTACAGTTTGGATCCTCTCATTGTTCACGGTACACATACCAATTTAATACAAAAGGGCTCAAACCTGTTTTATCTCTGCGTCTCAATCTCCCTAACCTTTTTTTTCCGTTCTGATCAAGCCAAGTATCTGACTTTTTGAAAACCTCTTATTTGTTGGTCGTTAATGGGGGTCGAACCAGGTTATATTCGCATTTACTGAAATACTGAATCACGACAATTTCAACCGATAAAGTATTTCCATGTGAAGTAACTTTTAAAGCTTACAAAACTTACGTAAATCATTCAGATTGGGGAAAGTAATCGATTTTCGTTAACTAAGTATCTACCATAATTTTTATGAAATTAATATGTTCAATAAAGTTATATAATTTCATGTAAATTATTTTAATTCTTGTTTAAATTTTAAAAGGCTGAAAATTTTCCGGTTGAAATTCTTTTCTCGAAACGTTTAAAAATGCTTTAATTTAATTTCGTACAAAATATAAAGAAAAAGTTTTTATGCCTGTAAAAATGTTCATCAGCAAGAAGACGGGGAAGATATTTTAATGTTGCAAATAACTTTTTGATTTTTCAATAAAGTTTATTTTTTATTCATGAGTTTTAAAGAATCTTTTACAATAATTAAGAATCAATAAAGAATTAATCAGTTAACAAATTTTCATATTTCCATAAGCAAGAAGAAATGAATTTCAGCTTTAATTTGGCTGGGTGACTATCAACCTGTATGTTCTAATTTAAGTTCATGTCATGCATCAAATTTCAACAAGAATTAAATTAAAAATAACGGCATCTTGTGATGATATAGTAAGAATTTGAATAAATATTACGAATTTAAATATTTCTTTACAATACAAAAGGAATACATGTGCCAGCATTTCTGTTGATTGCTGCTTTTGTTCTTGTTTTAATCAGGATATAGACGAGAAGAAGTTTATCGTTGACTCCCATGGTTTTGGATTAAACTACACTCAATTTCATACGTCGATCCTTTCAGATGACTCCTAATTAGTAACTTCTGCCAAAAATCCTAAATCGGATACTTGTTCAACAAATTAAATAAAATTTCCAATATTCTGGTGAATTGATTTCGAGTGAACTTCGGTAAGCTAGCTTTATGACGTTTCAAATATTCACTCATACAGCTAGATAACCAAAGACAACTCAACTTCAATTAATATTGGAGAAAAATTATAGAAATAATTATTGGAAAAATAAAAGCTTTAATTATTGAAATCATTTCGTTTTAAAAAAGTTCTCACATGTTTAAAATCAATTCTAAGTCGAAAGTAATGACGAGAACAAATAAATGTTTTTATAATGAAAAGAGATGTAAAGAATCGAACATTAATTTTATTTCAAAAGCATTCCAAAGCCAATGATTTATTTTATAATATGTATAACTACACAGTTCAATCTAGAGTTCAACCTAATGGTATAAAGATGAAATCCGGTTTTCACTTATTGAGATTTTTTTTCTTCAAAATTCTACCTAGGTAAGTAGTCATAGAATTCTTTAAATGTGAGAACAAACTTTTTTTATTCTTTTTTTCGATGCCAAAAATAAATTTATAATATAAATGCACCAATTATTTACACTTTTAAGCGATTATATTTAATAAAGAAGCAATTACAATGGTCAACAAGTCTAAATTTCTAATCTTTGATTCATCCAAAATTTGTTTCATCCAAAACTTTTAAATTTTTCCAATAAAAATTACCTATAAACACCAATTGTGGCGGTTATCGAAATGAAATTCAAACTTCTCCATAATATGTATACATATAAATATGTAGCTGACCAAACAAGTACTTGTTTTAAATTGTTACTTTTATATTTTCCACGTGAACTTGAATTTGAAATTTGTTGGGAGAGCTTTAACATTTAGGTACTTTTCCTAACGCAAACACAAATCGACTAAAGAATTCCAAAAAATTTCTTTACTTTTGCTTAAAACAAGAAATTTTTTCGATCGTCCGTTGTTCAGGTAAATGAATGAAGTAAGCTTGTTATAAAACTTACATAAAGATATTTTCATTTCAGTATTTTTTCTTCTTTTTTATCTACCTTTATATGCATACACTCCCAACTCTTCAATTGTAAACGCTATACACAAATAAAACTTCTTCCTACACATTTTCATTCTATATACAAACTTGAAAATAACTTGGAAGAGATTGGCATTGAAACTTGATTTGTTAGTTTCTTCTTTTCAAAACCTATGTCCAATGACTCTGTCCCAGAAAGAAACGATGTGTATGTGATACTCACATGAATTCTTGTTTGAAAAAAATCTGAAGCCAAAGAATTAAACGAATGGATAAGACAAATATCATTCGGTAATATTTAAGAAGAAAAAAATAAAAAGTTAGAAATTCTCTTCATCAGAATTTACTTTTATGATATTTTGAACCTTTAAAGAATTTATTAGACTTTTTAATTAGGTTTACATAATTTAGCCTTGTGAAGGTAATTCTGTTACAATTTTCAAAACGGAAAATAAAGAGAATTTTGTGAGGGAAGGAAATATAACTTAACAAACAAATATTTTATGTTTTCATGTTCAATGAAGGGTGAAGATAAAATATAAGAAAATTGATTTACAAGTGAAATGATTCACCATCTCTAACGCATTGGAATATTCAAAATTGATTCATCATGGGAACAAGCTTAAACCATTTGAGGGATTAAAGACCAATTTAGTTGGATAATCTTATAAATTTCACTTATAACGAAAGATACAAGCATTTACAATGCAACGACTTTTATTGCTGCAGAATGCCGGGTTGGCATGAAGAAAATGATGCTTAATAAAATATAAAAAATTGTATGAAGAACAAGGCGTAAGCTAAAGGAACAAATTCGTGTAGCATTTTTCTTTTTTATACACATTTCAAGTTCAGAATGATGTTTTACCAGATTTCTTGCAGAAGACTGAAGATCATCTCAAAATTTGATGATTTGTGCGTATACATACTGTTCAACGTGAAAATAACAATGAACTCTACTTAAATAAATATTTTCGTTTTGCAAATTTCAACCGATGTCGCTATTTCTTATGAAATATGTAGATAAAATGAAATCATTTCTTTCATGTTATGAATATTTAGAAATCTGCCTGAAGAAAATTTTAATTAAATTTTGTTCAACAGATTTCCCAGGTAGTTGATCTTACATAAATAATTAATCCATCTTTATTCAAAACGTATTTATTGCTGTGACGTTTCAATCAACGCTCTCCACTATATCTGTGATAGTTCTTTTCTTTAATTTTTTTGCACACTGCTGAAAGATGAACAAAGTGGCCTCAGGGATGGCATTTCATGACAGTGATCGCGTCATAAAAAAAGGCATTTTTGGTTATAAATATAACTTTGACGATTAAATTTAAGACCTATAGGCATCTTGCTATATTATAAATGAAAATTAAAATTGAGATCGTAAAAATGTGCTGATTTGCAAATAGTTTTTTTTTATATTTTGAAAAAAGTAGCTGTTGAAATAAGTTTAACTAAAATATCACACCACCACAGTACACAAACTGCTTATATAAACATTCATAGCTATGAACCATTCTTTGACTAATCGCAAAATATCTATATGCACATATGACTTCTTTTAAAATTTCTTTTAAGAATCTGATAGAACATCTAGAAAGGTATGTGCTTGAAAATTAAATTTCAGAATCTTTTGAACAAGTTTCCGACAAAAGAAGTCTAGAAATTTACAAAAGAACTTTGGTGTTGCAAATTAGAATAGTTGTCTACCTAGGTAAATTTGCTTTCTAAATATCTGCATAACATACAAAATCATATAAAGGAATCATAAATAATTATGAACATTATTAAGTTTAATTAAAACTTAAACAGATTTCATTACTTGCCTTGTAAATTCATGACCAAAAAGATCATTTCATCAACTAAGAACATTGGTAGCCAGAAAACCAACCAAAAGTAAGAAATAGCATTTGCTTAATAAAAAAAAGAAAGAAAGATTATTAAATACATACTCATAAAAATCGATTTCTTCACTTAGTAGTTTTCTTCTTTTCTAAAAGCAGAGAAAGAGGAAAAAATACAATATCTCTTGAATAACCTCTAAAAGAACTTTTGGATATTTTATATTTGTAAGTATCATGTATATAGATGTATATATACGTATTTTTGTATTTTATGTTTTCTTATTTCTTCTTCGTTCTTGTTAATATATAAATATATGGAAGAAAACTGAAAAAACCAAATGCGATACATAAGAAAAAAAAAAGAAATATCAAGATTCACGAAATCTTTCAAACAGGTTTGAAAAAAAAATGTTTTGACTCTAAAAAAATCGTTTTATGTTTAAAATTTTTTGAACGCTTATTGAGTTGAAAAGGAAACAAAAAATCTTAAATATTGGACAAATATTAATAGACTGATAGTAATCCAATGACTTTTTGGAATGATTTGAATTGGAATTTATTGGAACAATAATGCGAGAAGTTAAATCTCATCACAAGATATCTTATTTCTCATGACTTAAAACGTTTAACTTTCTTAACTTAACTCAATTCTGTACCATAGATGAATGTAGATAAATGTACATATATGAACTCATAGTCCATATATAGCTTTTTTTCATTTAATCTCATATTTTTTCTAGACAAAATTCTTGTCGGAGATGTATAAGAAAATCTATGATGAATTTATAGTAAACAATCAGCGTGAACTTTTATTATGATGTTTCATTCTTTGTGGCTTTTATTCACAATATTGTTTTGTCGACGAAATTACTGCTTTTAATGAAGTTTAAAGTATTTAGAATTATTCTGATTGAAGCTATGTACTCATGATCACGTCATGTTACCATATAAAGAAAATAAAAAAGGCAAAAGTTGCGCAAGCATTTTGATTCCAGTTCCAAGCTCTGCTGACATTCATCAAAATCTTAGACATTTGACATCTAAATCGTAAACAGAAGTTAACTGAACCCATGTTAAACCAACTTCTGTCATTTTAATAAATCTTCACATATCTATTTAGAAGAGATTAACTGAAGATGTTTAAATTCTTTTGAACAATTTATTTCACAATATTTTATTGAAATCTGTAAAATTAAAAAAATCAAACATGATTTTGACTTAAGCGAATTAAATTTTCTACTTATTGTTATATGTTTTGCTAAAAGTATATTTGGATAAATTTTTGAAAATAGTTTTTAATAATGAATACATTCTGAATTAAGGAAAACTTTCACTCGAAATTATTTTATTGAATTGGAGTAGAACGATATTTAATTTATTTTTTAGTCATAGATATTCATTAAGAAAGACAGATTTATTAGAATTTTGAATGAATTCACAATTTTCCTATAGTGTTTTCCTAATTCGTCAATGATGAGCCACAAGGTGACTTATGATCCAATTTTCTATATTTTTTGGCCTTGTGAGCTGTCAATGACTCTTGTCCACTATCGGTGTTTGAACTAGAACTGTCACTGTCTTCATCTGAACTTGAAGAACTTGATGAACTGGAATTGCTTGAAGAATCTGAAGCAAAACCAGAGCTTGAATTTATATTTATGTTTTCCGCTTGTTTCGCTAGTTCAGGTTCGACTTCCTTAAATTGAAAATCTTTTAATGAATTTAACTAACAAAAAAAAAACGAGCAGACATTACTTTCAATATTTTCAACCATTTCTTTGAAAGTTTTGGACGACCACGAACTGTTTTATGATAAACAATTGGAAAATTTGTCTTGCTACAAAAGTTTTGAGTTACAGCGACTGTATTGTCTAAATTGAGAACAACATGCCAAAAACCACCAGGAACAAAAACCTAAAAATCATTTCATAAAATGTATGTTGAAAGTTATTATTTAAGAAAGGTATATTTACAGTTTCTCCAGGCTTTTGTAAAATCTCCAAAGGTTTGCAATCACTTGGCCAATCAGCTGCTTTACATCGAGGATAAATTTTACTAAACCATGTTATTGCTTCGTCTCTTTGCTTTCCACCAAGCTCAGCAGTCACTTTGAGTAGTTCCTTAGGTGTATGGGTAGGAAAAAGGCACCATCGTTTATGACCAAAGACTAATGAATTCCATGCGCTCGTTCCTAATGGATCTATATGTATTCCAGTGCCTGATCTTTCAGGGCCCATCACAAACCTACATTCATATAACGTCATAAATATGTCTTTATAGTTGAAAAGAAATTTAAACATTACCATCGATAAGGAGGTCGTCTAGATTCTCCAGCATATTTAAATAGATCATCACGAAAATACTTTGGCACAATGTAGTCATCAAGAAGTTTCTTACGTCGGTGATGTTCTCCGAAGGAACTGTCAAAAATATATAAAGGCGAGTCGTCTTTTGTTACTGTCATGTATTGAATGTAATATTTCATTTTCATTTTGACAGAATAGCCTTCATTGTCCTCGCCGCATTTGAATTTTTGGTTTCGATATTTTTTAGCTAATCTCTCCAAGGTCCATTTACTGGATGCTTTCCATCCTTCCAAAAGTCCAGTAATGACTACTGGTTTATAATGTTTCTCGTATCGGTCGATAAACTCTTGACAGTTTACATCTGGAGCATGAATTCGCTCGACATTATCCTCAAATTGCTTAAATTTTTCGAAATTTTCTGCATAGTTCAATTCATTCCAGGTTTGTCCCAATTCAGGACGTGCTTTTCGTTTTACTTCTCTTAATCTTTTACGAGTTCTGTGGACAGAGATACGTTTCGCTTCACTTGTCATTGAACTGGATCTAGAACTTTATTAGGTTACAAATAAGGAAATATTATTGTTTAATACTTCAAAAGTGAATGTGAATGTTATTTTCTATTCATAAAAATAAAGTTCTTTGACTTAATTTGTAAATTACAGGTGATATGGATCCAATTTTGATGTTATTTTAGTTACAAAATGATTTTTTGACTTTCTAAGATTAAAAACATAAACAATAATTTTTACAATTGACAAATTCTATTTAAAGAATATGTAAGGAAGTTCAACATAAAAGTTCTGTGTATATCAACACTTCAAGTAACTATAATTACCTATTGAAAACTTCTAACTTCCAAAATCTTAGGCAAATGGAATAATATTTTGTTAAAAAATTGAAAAGCGTTCGCCAGGGGTATTGAGCCGATTATTAAATATATTTTAGACGTTTTCCATGTTGTTGGACGATTTTATCAAAACATTGAACCGTTTTGAACCGTTTTGAACCGTTTTTTTTCTGCAGGAGAATCGGGATTCTGACAAAGCGTAGGGAAATGTTGTTGATATTTCAGACCGTTTACAAAATTTTAATTAATTGAGACATGCATTTACGAGATATTCATGAAACAAACATATTTCTCGCATCTTTTTATTTTTTTAGTTTTAAAAACACCTACCTAGTACAGACACTAAACACAATGCATTGCCGTGAATAAATATTTTAATTTTTTTTTTATAAATTTCAATGAAAATTGCATTTTTTGACTTTCCATATTTGATTAATAAGACATTTCTTAATAAATTAGATAGGTAGGTACCTAAATTTTATAGAAAAAAGAAAACTGAAAAATAATGAACTTCAAAAGACAATTAGATATTTTTTATTATTGATCAGAAGGACTTCAATCTTTATTAAATTTTTATTTATGAATTTTATTTCCTACTACGAGATGATTCAGTTGCTGTAACAGGTGGCGGAGCACCTCGTTTCTTCAAATCTTCCATGTAATAAATGATCATGTCAGTGCGTTCACGAGAAAGATGATCCAGAACAAGATATCTGAAAAAACATTCAATTAGATTTACCATTTTAGAATAAGTGATGCATACAGACCTTTTATCTTTTTTTAAAATTTCTTCAATTTCTTTCAAATGATTGTGATTTTCTTTGTAATTTTCCAGACTCTTATACGTAATAAGCTTACATTCTTGTAGTAATTCTTTAAAACTAGAGCGCGCAATGGCAGTTTTATCTCTTATATAGGACTTGTATTCCATTTCACACTGTAATATTTTAAAAATTATAATTAAATTCCATTAAATCAATAAAATAAAAATATGTTTACATACCACATCACTATTGCCAAACTTCAGATAACGTGGATCATCGCGAACTTGTCTTTTGACATCTTTCCAAGAAGCCGTAAGCTCCAAACTTGTGATCTCGTCTATCATTTCACGGAACTTATTACGTTTTTTCTTAGATAATGTCGTGATGTGATCATCAAATAATCGTTCTTTTTCATCACGTTCTAAATGTTCAGCAAGTTCCCAACGATGATCTTTCTTCAATTGTTTCTTTGCTTCTTTCCATGTAAGATTAGTATTTCGAACTAAATCTGCCAAAAGTGCTTCAAAATGTCTGACAGCTTCATCTCTAATGTGGTGTTGTCTCTCCTTATCACGTTCTCGAAAGTTTTCAGCTAAAGCTTTTTGAACTTCACGTTCACGATCTTTAATGCTTGCCTCAGCTCTTGCTTGACGATCTTTTTCTATTCGAGCACGCTCAGTCTCACTGTCAGTTCCAGAATGCTCACCTTCTTCTTCCTCGCCTTCTTCTTTTTCCGATAGCGATTTGTCAGTGCCAACATCTGATTTTGCCTCTAGATCTGATGTTTTATTTGAGGAATCATTTGATGACTTATTCTTTCCATTTGTTTCTTGATTCTCAGCAGATTCTTTCGTTTCAGATTCAGACACTTTTTGATCTTTTTCTCTCATTTTTTTCTTTTCTTTCTTTTCCGACTTCTTAATTTTTCTTTTCTTGCGTTCTTCTTTAAGATTTTTGATGTAAGAATAAAAAATCTCTTCACGTAAAACTGAATTGCTAACAGCCTTGAAACGACTATCATGTTCTAACTTCTTCTTAATGTCCATCCAATGAGTATGACGATCGATTTCAGGGACTGATTTCAGAAGGTCGAAGAATCCTTTGCGAATCTAAGAAATCACAAATAAAATGTTGAACAACAAAATCGAGTGATTGAAATAAATATTTACTTGATCTTTTTTATATTGTTTTTCTTCTTTTTCTTTACTACGAAGTTCATCCATATAATCATTGAAGATATTTTCTCTTTCACGCATCTTTTCAATGGCTTTGAATCGTTCATCACGAGAAAATTTCGATGAACAGAAATCTGAAAACGATCTGAGAAAAATAAAAGAAAATTTAATCGAATATTAAATTGTAAATGTTTTCATTATCAACCTTGAGTGTAAATTTGCTTCTTCCAAAAGGGCTTTAAATTCGTTTCGCTTTTTTTGCATTTTTTGTCGTTTTTCACGACGTTCATCCTCAGCTCGATCCTTGACATATTTCTCGAAAACTTGTTTTCTTTCTTTACTTGTCAAAAGCAAGTAACGTGGATCGAATACTATTTTATGTAGTTCCTTTTCCCATGTCGAAAAAGCTGACACTTCCTTCTCTTTCAACATTTCTTTGAATTGTTTGACGCGAACTTCGAGTGGAACAATTTGTCTTTCTTTTGCAGCTTTTGCTTCAGCTTCTGCAACTCCATCAATTGAAGAGTCAACTTTCTTGTCATTTGCTAACGTGGGAATATTTTGTAGTTTTAATGTCGAAGCTTCAGTTGCTATAATTAGAGACTATTCCTAAACATTTCTTTAAAATTACTTTCTTAGATTTACCTTCCAATTTCAATTTCTTTATGGGTAAATTTGCTGCTGATTCATCTTCTACTTGTCCGATGGGATGTTTTTCTGAGATTGGATTCAAGTTTACTACAGCAGATCCTACTTCTGGTGCATCTTGTGGTGTTTTGACATTTTCTGTTGTTTCGTCAGATTTCAATTGATCTGGACGTGAATTCATCGCTTTATCAACATCAGCTCGACCTTCAAAAAAATAAATTAAATAAATTGAAAGAAAATATTCGAGTTAGAATGTTACCATTTAAATCTTCTGGTTTCTCCCAAACACTAATTTTTCTCGAAGGGTTGAAGAAGAAAACTTTTCCATCTCCTGTCCAGACAACACACCAAGGTGTGCCATAAATTGGTGTACTTGAAATCGGTCGACTTTTATCCTGAGGCTTAACTGGCTGTTTAACTTTCTCAACAACTTCTTGTTTCTTATTTTTATTTTCTACCTCTGATGGAGTCGCCATATTTGGTTTCATCTGTTGCTGTTGCACAAAATTCATTGAATTATTCATTTTTGTCATGTTACTATTATATGGCATCGAAAGTGGTTGATTTTGTCGTGAATGCATTGATAACATGGGATTCATTAAAGACATCCGCGCCTCTTCTAATTCTTTAAGTTCGTTTGGCTTTTCCCAAACACTTTCACAACGTGAAGCATTATAATAGTAAGGACGACCGTCTGGGGCCTTAAAATGAAAGAAACATTTTTTGATTAACAACAAAATCATAAAATCATAAGAATCTCAACACTTTACTCGATGTTCACTCCATTCATTTGCTCGTGCAATCAATTTCGGATCGATATTGATGTCATCGTGAAATTTTGTTTCATCATTTGATGGATGGTGGGGTTGCCACTTGTTCCAAGGTGTTGAAAAAGGTGGATTCATAACAGAAGGAGGCACACTCGAGTTGAAGTGAGGAATAGGTGGCATTTGTTGCTGTGGCATGTCCCCAAAATTTCCCATAGGCATTCTAAAATTATTTTGCTTTAGATAAATGTGTTAAAGATGTTCATGTGCATCATTTACCCGACTTTTTTCATAGAATCATTGAAATCTTGACTACCGGTCATTGGTTTCATGTTCTTGCTTTGTGCTTCAAACTCGGGTTGCGTCAAGATCTTAATATTTTGTCCCTCTGGCTTTGTCCATGTTGTCTCACGAGAAACGGCATGATAGTAGTATAATCTTCCATCAGCTGTTTTTATTTCAATCCATAATTGCTAAACGAAAATGAAAAAATATTAATATCATAATTATTACAACAATCTAAGGTTTTAGAAACCGTTTTCGGTGGTGGCTGATGAAAACTTGGGGGATGACTTTTAAACACATTCACTACTGACGGAGCTGGTTGTTGCAGTTGTTGGTTGGAGTTCCAATTGTTACTGTTTTCGCCTTCTTGATTACGTTGAGGTTTTTTTTGTAATGGTGCTTGTTGTCCAGGATTGCTTTGTGTAGACCAACCGCTTCAAAAATTATTATTTATTGCAAAGGAAAAAAATATATTGAAGAAAAATTACCTTTCAAAATCATCTGCAAAATCTTCAAAGTAAGTATTAACAGTTGCAGTGGCGTTTTCATTGCCACTTGAAAACTCTTCATCCATTGTTGGATCCATTAATTATGAATAGCTAAATTTTAGTAATTATAATCTTTATTTAAATTGAAAAAAGTGAAGAGGAAATGTTTTTTCCGACATAAACGCAGAATGTACCCTAACTCCAAGCCAAGTACCCCTTGAGTTCCCAGGGTTTAAACACCAACAGGGAATGAAACTTAAATTTTGGGCTGAATAGTAACAGTAAGCATTTCCCTTAATAATTGAGAACTAAGAAGAAAAATAAGAGATAAAAGGGGTTCGAGAAAATGTGAATAAGACTGAGAGTTTCTATATGACAAATTTCCACTCATTCCGAATAATGTGCACTATCCACCTGAAACTAACTTTCTCCGGAAAGCAGTTTCAGGTGGAGAGTGCATAAAAAAAATATTGATTATCTTGAAAGATATTTTCTACTACAAAGAGCTTCACAACTGTTGTATAAAAGTGATCATAGAATAAGCTATACTATAGCATACATAGTAAATCTGTTCGAAGCTTTAAAGGAAAAGAAGTGTTTGGAATAACGATTGGAAGACTTCATTATTAAAATTTTAAGTATAACGGACAGATAAAATATTTCGCTGAAAGTAGTTAAAAAGAGAAGTGTGGAAACTTAAAACACGGTGAATTTAATTCTTAATTATTGAAAAAATTAGTCTTAAAAGAATTTGATTTTTTTTTTCTTAAACTTTGAAGAATACAAATGAAGACGAGTTGATTTAAAAGCTTTTCTCTAAACTTTTGTATTTCTTTCTTATTTGTTAACTTTATTTATGCCATAAAGTTTTCTGAAACTTTTTGGGCTTGTCAATTTTGGCAAGCAACTTAAAAGCTCAAGAATATTGAAAGTTATTCGCAATATCGATCTGGAAGCTTTTTGTATTTTTTAAAATAATTTTTACAAAATGTATGAAAACATTGACACTTTCTAATGCAACTAAACATATCTTACTTCATAGCAAATAGAGCAAATACGCAATGAATAACATCGATCATCATCATAATGTGGTTAAAAACAGTTTGGCTCAATTTATCAAGAAAAATATTCCGGGAGCAAACTTGAAAAATGTTTTAGACGACATTGTTCTTCAATACGTAATTTCAATTCTCGAAGAAGCATCGGAAGACGAAAATTTTGACGTTGAAGGTAATTTAAAATTCATTTAATTAAGCAATCAATCTAATTTTTGTTTCTTAAATTTACAAATAGCATTTCAAGAAATGATGTCTGCATACTTTTCTGACTTTGCTAAAATTAACCCTGCTTTGATATATACCTGGATTTTTGAGCTCGAATCTCAACTATCAAAGTTGAATGAACCTAAAGAATGCAAGGATTTACAAACGAATTTTGCGTAAAAATCATTAAAATATAGAAAAATCGAAAATTTTCATTCCTGATGTGAATATTTTTTAATGTAAATTTTAGGTCATTTAACTTAACGGATATGATACCAGAAGAAAAATTACGAGGACGTCAACCAAATCAAGCCTCTGGGCCGGTTAATACTTTGTTCGAAAACAACGTACAAATAAAACGCATTCAACATTTGTCTGAAACAAGTGATGGTAGCTGCTCATCTGACTCAAATTATGATTTGTTTCTTGAAGAGTATGATCGTATGCAAGAAATGTTTCCTGAAAGTACATCAACTGAAATTAAGTATTGTCTCTCTATTGCAAATGGTGATGTTGAAAGTGCTCGGCAAATAATAACACATCGCCAAGAGTCGGGACAAAGTTTCCATAATACATCACGTAATTCCAATAAGCATTCTGATAAGAAAGTTGACGAAAAGGAGTTGAAGAATCGAATTATAGAACGGTAAGAATTTTACTTTTTTCTCCTTTCATTTTAAAACTATTTTTGATTGTTTTCATATAGTTACTCATATATTGATCAAAGTGATACTTCACGCGAACATCGCCCAGTCATTCCAAAAGTTGAACCAAAAAAGATGATTCGCTACAGAGACAATAAAATTGTTTCGTTGAGAGGTGAACGATACACTGAAAGTCGTGAAGATGATCATGAGCTTCGTAAACCAAAAAAAGTTTTGCCGTAACAAAGCATATTTATCGTTCGATATGAACAACGAAATAATATAAAGCAGCAACTATCATTTCCCCGTGGCATATACTTTAGAAGAGAAAAGGATTTCCTATTTCATCAGAAACATAAAATGATCTCAAAAAATAAGAAAGTCAAATGTTTAGAATTTAAAAAAGAATTCCATTTGATATTTTTCATAAATTACATAAAATATCATCATATTTTAATTTCAAAGTCTGTGACACACACGAATCAAAGGTTTTTTCATGTAGAATCTTCTAGTCAAAGGTTTATACTGCAAATTTAGTATACATCTTATTTAATATTAAATTTCGTAAACTTATGTATATTTAGTAGTACATGCTTGAAAGTAATTAAACTAACTGATGACCTCTGATATCGGCTATTAAGTTTTAGGGAGTAAATTTAGTTTTATTTAAATTTTAAAGTTTAAAGATTCGTACTTATAATTTTTACACAACGTTAACCATGATTCTAAATGCTTTTAATCTATCTATAATTTAATGATATTTCACCAAATATTTTCTCAAGTAGAAGAAGAATCTTTTTAATAAAAGTTTGTTTCATTTAGTTCATTTTTTTTTCTTTTAATTTACGTAGATATAAAATCATAAAACAAAATTATTTTGAGATATTTATTCAATGAATTGCATAAAAATATATAATTTTTGGAGCTTTTATTTATTTTCTAGATATTCAAACGTACGAAAATCAAAAAATATGTTCGGAGCGCAAAGAATTTTATTTAGTCCCTAAAATAATTGTATAGTTACTGTTAAAACATTCTTTCTTGGTCACTCTTCTTGCTAGGTGAAGCTGTAATACTTTGGTTTGTGTTTTCAATCATAATAGGTTTGAGAACGCTCAGTTCTGATCGTCGATATTCTGAATTAATGTTTTCGAGATCCAAATTAGCATCAAGAACTAAAACCTTTAGATAAAAAATTAAATACCTATCATAAGTTTCTATAATTCTTTTTTAAAATATAAATAATAAATAAATAAACAATTGAAAATAACTTACTTGAGCTGGTCGGAAAAACTGTCCATGAATTAGCCAATTTTCATGAAGCTCATGTAAATCTTTGATATATTCGAAAGGAACACAACTTTCTTCATCGCGAGCACGTTTTTTAATACGTTCATAAGCAACTTCAGGCGATGTTCTTAAGTAAACGATCAGATCACATTGAACCTGACAAATGATGTTTAAAAAGGATAAATAAATGTTAATTAAAATTAATCAACTCATGTTGCAAACACTAGGTAGTGGAAAAGAAAATATGAAACTTACGTGGTGATGATCATGAATGAAATTGTACCATTCTTGAAGTACATGATACATTCCCTCATGTAAAGTTCCATTACTAAGCATTTTCTCCACAAAACAATAACGAGCACTGAACATTGATCGTTCCATGAGTTTTATTGGCTTGCTTGTTTCTTGAATATGAAGTTTAAGCATGGTCAAAGTGACATAGTTTTGGAATGGCATTGCAAATCTTTCTGGATTCTTGTACATCAAGTCAAATAAATTAACGCCACTGTAGAGTGGAAATATTCAAATAAATCATAAATTTGTCTTTCATTTTATATAGCTACTCACTTCAAATTTCGCCAGCGTTCCACTGGCTCGGTCAACAAACATATATCATTGAATTTCTCAAAGTGCTTGAGAAATGTGGTTTTTCCACTGCCGATATTTCCTTCGACAAAAACCGTGAAAGGATGTTTTGGTTGCGATGAGAAAAGTGCCATTTGATTAGCAGTAATAACTTTGGTCAGAAGCTCTAAACAAAGAAAGAGTAAGAAAAATTTAATCATAGTACGAAATCATTGAAATTTTTTATTTTACTGACTGCTGATCCTGGAAAAGTATGATAAGTAAATGAAAACTTACTATGTAACAAAACTTGATGATATGCAGAGAAGTTTCTCAGTCAATTATTGAAATTGAATTAATTTTTCAATGTAACGTAATGTACTGATCAGTGAGAATATATGCTTGTTTTTAACGTTTAAGCGGGAAGACGCAAACTTTGGACTAAATATTTTCATAAGATGCAAAAACGATGTTTTTAAACAAAACACTAACGCAGGGATTTAAGTTTGCTTTCTTCTCAATAATAACAATGACATAGGTAATTTAATTTAAATTAATAATTAATGTTTGATAACAAAAGAGAAATATGATATTTGAATTAGGATAAAATATATCAAGTTAGACATACATAACTTACTTATGGTCTTTTGAAAATTAAACATGTTTTTGGATATCAACTTTCCATTTAATAACTTTTAACTTATTACTAGCAATATGCTTGCTCAAATTTAAGCATAAGACAACTTTTGGGTATGGTATAATGTATTTTTTTTATCACTAAATAATATAATTTCGCAATCCTCAACAGAAATTAAAATTTATTTGTTGTTAGCTTTTTTTCATAAGGCGAATTTGCTTGAGTGAGTGCGTTCAGAAAATATAATTTGTTGGAAATTTGGAATTTAGACTTAATTATAATGAGCATCCGGTTTTGTTGTATTAAAGCATCATTTAATATGAATTATTTATCATATTCCATAAACTCCTTGAGAATTTAGAAGCTAGATCCTTCGATTTAACTGTTATTATAAATTCTTTTCAGTATGGCAGCACTTTTTCTTGATTTGTTTACCTCAATGTGGCAACTTTAAAATTCTTCAAGTCAACACGTGCATAAGATTTAAGCTGTCGAAGTGCATATTATTTAATAAAAGAACCATGTCTAATGAAATATCATACGAAGAAATATGTCCAGTGACAAATGAAGTGTTGGGCATTTCAAATGGCTTTGAAAATAATTCGATTATTGTCACCTACAGTCCTAAAATAGTTTTCGAAATTCAGGTTGGTATTTTTTCTAATATTTAATTTTTCCAACTCAAGGAAAAAGTGTCTGAATCTATTTAATTCAGTTCATGTAAATTGAATATTGAGTGTAATAAGAATAAGACTTTTAAGACCATCTCAAATATCGAGATAGATTTTTTTTAAAATTTCTTTATTAATCTTTCTTCCTGCAGGTTACCAACCGCAAACAACTTAGGTCATGGATAACTTCAGACAGTCTTTCATGTAAAGTTGTGTTCGATACTACCAAACAACAATATGTTGGAGTTTTTTCAAGCCATTATATTCGATTTTGGAATGAAGATGCAAATGATATAAACATATTAAAAAAGCATAAAATCAGCAAACGTATCATTGATATTTTAAACATAAATATCAATGAAAAGGACAAAATATTGATAATATATGAAGATGGATGGTGTGAATCCCTTCAAAGCGCTTTGATTAGTAACAACAAAGATAATCAAAAAGAAAAATTTCCTATAACGAATGTACATAAAAAACCCAAAAACATTAAGTTTACTGATGGGCTTTTAAGCTTCACAAAAATAGAGGAAAATATTTGCACATTCTTCTATACACAGTTAGATGAAGATACTTTGAGACCAATAAGTGACTTTAAATCTCTAAAGTTGGTAAGAACGGGGCAAGATGTATCGCTTAAAGGCTTAACAGTTATCCTAGGAAAAAATTCTCATAATCCGTCACTTGTAACTATTTGGTCAGACAACCGTATCTTCAAATTACCCTTAAATTCTAGCGACAAATTTAAAACTGTTGGTTCCTTGCATTCTATGTTGGATTCTTTAAATTCCAAAAGGGAAATGGTAATTGCTGGAATTAGTGAGGAATATATTGCTATATATGGTTGCAAACAAAAGAATGATGGTGCACTTTTCGTTCTTTATAATATGAAATACAAAGTCATTCAATCAAAAGTAGCTTTCAAAGTTTTCCTGCCTGACTTTTCTGGGATGTGGCTTGTTAAAAATAATGTTTTCTTCAAATTAGCAAAAAACCTCACGATGATTAAATTCCAAAGAACCAAAACACAATTATGCAACATGATCGGTTCTCAGCGTGAATCCATGAGTTCTAGCGGAATCGAAAAAGAAATGATTAGTGAAGATATTAGATATGAAGAAAATATAGAATTTGATGAGGATCAATCACTGATCATCGACAAGGAAATCAAAAACTACACGCCTAACATGAAGTCATCTCAAAATATTACAAAGAACAAAAAAGACGATAGTGATGAATTAAATATGAAGCTTAACAGATTTTATTTCGAAGAACTTTCAGTTGATGTTTTCAAACGAAGTGTCAATGGAAGATATCCTGTAATAACTCTACATCCAACTCTTACCGAAAATATCGAAGAAAAATCTTTACTGTCAACAACTGAAAAACTATTTTCATTTATCAACGAATTTGAAAACATGGGATTCAGTGAAATTGAAATAAGCAATAAAATTATTCCATTAATAATTAACGCAAATCGTCAAGTTGATACTTGCTTATTAATGCGCTTATTATTAAAAATGCAAAGCCATTTATCTGAGGAAATGATTGTTAGAATATTAAAACACTTGTTTCTACATCCACAATCGATGAAATCTCCTGAAGAAATTAATCAGCAAACTGAAATGTTAAACATTTTATTTCAATGCTCTTATAACGACTTTACAATTCATGGTTATTTGAGAAAAATTATACCTCTGAGTGAGACAATTTCAATCATGGATTTTTCTTACGACGTCATTACAAATTCATGTTCAAAGGGTTCGTTTGATGTATCACAATTTGGAGGAACACAATTCGACACAAATATATTCAAATGGCTGTTGATTTTATTGGATTCTTATTATCAACATTTGCTTTTAAGTTATGATAAAAACTTGTATGATAAACTTAAAAAATGGTTTATTTTGGTTGAAAAAGAAATGAAAACTCTTTTCGAATTGTCTGAACTTAAAGGAAATGTGGAAAAAATTGTTTCATGTCAGACATTGCAGTCATCCAAAAAATATAATCAACTTTGTACAATAGAGCAATTGAACCTGTATTAGTAAGTCAGAGTAAAATTGTAGAATCAATTTATTAAAATAAACAGTTTTAAAAGCAAAATAAACATTCTCTAACATTGCATTGTAAAGATTTTCTAATTCTCTTCCATCTGAATATCTACTTGCCTAAGAATATTTTCTTTCCATTGGTATTCAAAATTAAATTGAAATTTGCATTTATAAATACCACATTGGTTTAATGGAATTTTTCATTTGTTGTATCGATGCTTTGAAAGCTTTTGGCGTAATGCAGCATAATTACTTTATTCCTTTCCCTCTTTCTAACATGAATTCTCTGTCATTCCGTTTTATAATCATTTTTATTTCAGAATTGTCATTAAAATTTTTCATATTTTTCATGGATGATTTGTCTGTAATATTTCTGTGTTGATCGTAGAGAATTAAGAATTTAAAGAAGTTCATTATTTCTTAGACCTTCAAGATTTATCTAAGAAAATCTTCAAGTCATTGTATTTAGTTTTTGTTTGTCGTTATGCAGAATGGTAAGAACACTTGTTTCTGGTTTTAATTTAAATGAAATAGAAATTTAATATTGCTCGACTGAATACTAATACTTTAGCGGGTTTGCAATCTTAATGCAGAAGCAACAAGAGAGAACGCTTTGATGAACTTTTTTCCATGTTCTCTCATTTTTTCTTAGACTTGTAAATGATAATAGTATTTGTGGTTTTATTAGAACAACCATTAAACAGAAGAAAGAAAGCATAAAAGAGAGAGGCAATTCTACTTTCAAAGTCATTGCTGTTCCGTATTTCGCTCAAGATGAGTCTGTAATAGTCTTCCGAATTTTTATTTTTAATTCAGTCTATGTTGAGTCTATATTATTTAAAATATTTTTGGGTCAGTGATAAAAAACTTTCATAATTTAATAAGACCGTAAAGAGTGAAAAATTGTGAAAAATTATTACAAAGTTCAATCAATCAATAAACTTTTAAAAGGATAAAAATATATACAAAGTTGTGAAAAGGTAGGAATTTTCACCATTCTTTATTCTTTTTTCTTTTTCATGTTCAGAAAAGCTTTTTTGACATCAAATTTGAAATGTTGCTTACTTCAGAACTAAAACTAAAAATTTGGCGAGCAAGTTATGTGTTAAAAATAAAAAGTTTTATCAAAATTAAAATACTGGAGTAGAACAAAAGTTTGTAATTTTAAATATACAGTTTTTAATCATTCCTTCTCTTAATCTTCTATGGGTAATTTCACGCTTTATGGATGAAGAGAAATCAAGTTCTGTTCACGTAGAAACATACCGGAACCTTAGATATTGTATTCAACTTCTTTTGTTTCCATTAAAGCACAGATCATTCACCTCTCATAAGATTAGATGCAATAGCTAAGTAGTGAAAATGTTCTTGGAATGTTTATGCTACCGGACCAAAATTTGAAGTTTCTCTACAAATTAATAAATCTACTGTTCCCATTTGACTCAATTGAAATGTAATCACCTTGGCAATTATGACAAAAAAAGAAGCTTGAGCTCGGAAATATGTATGCCGTTAATAATTGAAGGAAAAAAAATTAATAAGACAAGAGTATGAATATTTCATGATCGATATAACGTGAATAATTTTTCTTTTTATGGAGCAAACTATAAAACACTGACGAGATCTTGGAAAGATCTAATCAAATATTTTTTATGTTGTTAACTCAAAATTGCCGTTTGAAAATTGCCGTCAAATTTTCAGAAGGGACAAAGTGATTTATATTCAGCATCACTACTGCTTTATTATTTCTAGCAAAAACTTTCTAAGATGATAACGGTATTGATGAAAATCCAACTAGTTCATCTCAGAAAAATGTTTCATCTACATTTACACAAAATAAAAAATCATGTGAAAGTTGAATCAGTACAATTGTGTTATGTTTTTTCATTTGATGGTTAACTGATATCCAACTGTTATTTTTTAATAAGTCATGAAATAATTCTTAAGTAAAACCAAGAGCTTCTCACAACCTCAATTCTAGGTATTTAGCATAATTCTGTTTTATCACAAAGCATAATTCAATTAATGCTAGATTATTAATGTCGTTGTACTCTCACAATTTTTTTTCACATAGTTTCCTGAGAATAAACCGCAAATCCATTCTTTTGTGCTCTTATAACATTATTATCTTCTCAGTTTTCACCGAATGCTTCTCCTAAATTGAAAGTTGAAAGATTCCCCACTACCACATAGTTTCTCTTCTTTTCATGCTTTTTTTGTTCATTTCTTTCTGTAGAATTGTGTAAAAAAACAAAAAAAGAAAAATAACAGTTCTCTTCTTTATTGGGATTGAGATTATTTTCTTCATTTTGTTGATACTTCATTTGTTTTCTCGAATACGTTAATTTCATTGAAATAAATGATTCTACTGAATTTACTGAATTCATGTTGGATTATTCTTCATAATTCATCTTAAGAAGTATTTTCTGATTAAAGTATCTAAGTACCTACATTCATAGTTACATGCAGCAACGTTAAAGTTAATATAGCACGATTTATATGTTTAACATAGTTTTATTCAGGAGCTTTTTTTATGCTGTCTTCATAACCTAAATACATATTGCAATTTTATATCGCCTCGATATTTGAGCCATTTTGCCATTTTTTGTTCTTATTATCGGTTTTACTTTAGCGTCTATATGTGCTGTAATTTCTGTAACCATCCCAATTATTTACACTTTCTATCTTCCTTTCTTATGGTTAATAATCTTGGGATTCCTCCCTGTGAATCATAAGCGCAACGTAAAACCACTTCAATCATTGAAGCAAAATATTTTTTAATGTAAAAAAAATTAATGACGTTATTAGAGTCACATTAAAAAATCTTCGCGAGTGATTTATTTGATCAATGATCATTCGTTACCAGATCTTAAGTAATGATATCTATGAAAGTTTAAATTGTCTTTGATATTGAAATAAGAAAATAATTCAAATAAAAAATCATAAAATTTCCGAATGTAGGTATATTCATTCTTTTCTCGTGGAAACCTACTTAAGCTTGCATACTTTAAAGTATGTCAAATATAACTGGTACATTCTGCTTAATGTACTTCTGCTGACATCGTAACACAAAAAACTTTTGACTGAAGATTAACTCTTGAGATTTTAAAAAGTTTTAAGATTCAGGTAAAACTATAAAAAATACCAAAATTATATAATATAAGCTAAATATTCTTCTTTCATTAATTACTTCCGTTATATGGCCTTGATTTAAAACCATCGTTCCCTCAGAAGACAAAAAGAAAGCATTTTAGAAATTGTGAAAAGTAACAATAGGCAGTAATTTTAATACCTTAAATCTAAAGTTCTACGAGATGTTACAGTAATGACCTTGATTTCCATACAATTCCCAATGATTCTGAGATTTTATTCACCTATTTTGTGACAATTTAAAAACGACTTGGAAGAATTTGTGTAAGGTCATGTTACTCTTCCATTGTTGAAAACTATTTAGTTCATCTATCTTAATGAAGTGTGAAATAATGAAACTGTATCGACACTTAAAATATTCTCATGCGTGAATATTCTTGATTGATGGAATCTATTCTGAGATTGTCATGTGCTTTTAAAGAAGAAGCTTACAAACTACAGCTAAACATAATTAACATAAATGCTTCTTTTTCATTTTCTTTTTACAGATATAAACACTGATTAAAACAATGCTGCTAAAAATGCAAGCCTTAGCACTGATACTTACTTTAATTCTAACAGTCAATGGAAAAATAGCATTCGAGAAACTCACAGATTATGATTTTACTGGAAATACTTATTACAGTGTGAAAAATTTATCCCTTTACGAATGTCAAGGATGGTGTAACCAAGAGCCAGAATGTTTAGCTGCTGCATTCAGTTTTGTTGTTAATCCACTTTTACCAGAACAAGAAACATTGTGCCAATTACAAAATGAGACGCAAGCTATGAATCCTTCAGCAATTCCACAGCGTTCAAATAGCATGTACTACATGGTAAAATTGAATATCCGTTCTGAAAACATTTGTATGAGACCGTGGAGTTTTGAGAGAGTGCCTAATAAAATTATTCGTGGATTGGACAACGCTCTCATCTATACAAGTACTAAAGAAGCATGTTTATCTGCGTGTCTAAATGAGGTTTGATTTGTTTTTTGTAATTTCTCATTTCTCATTTTAATGCGACATATCGAAAATTTAATTTTCTTACAGAGAAATTTTGTGTGTCGATCAGTTGAATACGATTATAACAACATGAAATGTATTCTTAGTGATGTTGATCGTCGCACAACAGGCCAATTTGTTCAACTTGTTGATGCACAAGGCGTTGATTATTTCGAAAATTTGTGTCTCAAATCAAGCCAAGCATGTAAATACAGTCGCGTACTTCAAGCACCCAGATTTGGTGTTTCTGAAGACAAAGTTGCTCAATATGTAGGACTTCATTATTATACCGATAAAGAACTTCAAGTCACTTCCGAAACAGCATGCAAATTGGCATGTGAAATCGAAAAAGAATTCTTGTGTCGAAGTTTCCTTTATTTGGGTCAACCCAGCGGCCAACAATACAATTGCAGATTATATCATTTGGATCATAAATCTCTCCCCGATGGCCCTTCAACTTATTTGAATGCTGAACGTCCGCTTATTGATGTTGGTGAACCAATTGGAACATATATGGAAAACTTCTGTGAAAGTGAGTTTGTAAAAACAAAATTTTAATGGCATAAAACATTTCTCCTTGTTTAGAAACACCTACTTCAAGTGAAAACACATTACCAATCGTATTCGATGCCACTGAAGACCCATCTGTGAATAATCTTACTAGAACTGATGTCAATTGTGATAAAACCGGAACATGTTATGATGTGTCAGTTCATTGTAAAGACACTAGAATAGCTGTGCAAGTTAGAACAAACAAACCGTTTAATGGAAGAATATATGCACTTGGTCGTTCTGAAACCTGTAACATTGATGTCATCAATTCCGATACATTCCGTTTAGATCTTACAATGGGAGGGCAAGATTGCAATACACAAGCTGTAACTGGAGTTTATACCAACACAGTTGTTCTTCAACATCACAATATTGTTATGACAAAAGCTGACAAAATTTATAAAGTTAAATGTACTTACGATATGAGTTCCAAAAACATCACATTCGGAATGATGCCAATTCGCGATCAAGAAATGATTCACATTAATTCATCACCGGAAGCTCCACCGCCTCGTATTCGTATTCTGGATGTTAGAGGTAGAGAAGTTGAAACCGTTAGGATTGGAGATCGTTTAACTTTCAAAATTGAAATTCCGGAAGACAGTAAGATTCTTTTTTAAATGAATGAATGGATGAATGTATAATTCATGATACTTATTTCTTTTATATTTTATCTAGCACCTTATGGAATTTTTGCTCGATCATGCGTTGCTATGGCGAAAGATTCAAAAAGTACTTTCCAAATCATTGATGATGATGGGTAAGATTTTTCTTAAGACATTCATACATAACTCTACTGATTTATTGTTTAATATTTCTCAAAAGATGTCCCGTCGATCAGAGCATCTTCCCTGGATTCACTCCTGAAGGAAATGCCTTGCAGTCATTATATGAAGCTTTCCGATTCACTGAAAGTTATGGTGTTATCTTCCAATGTAATGTAAAGTACTGTTTAGGACCATGTGAACCTGCTGTCTGTGATTGGGGACGTGATTCTATGGAGTCTTGGGGACGAAAACGTCGTTCAGTTAATAACGAAACTGCTAGTAATGAAGACGATATGAACATTTCACAAGAAATTCTTGTTCTTGACTTTGGTGATGAAAGCAACCGAGACTTTTTGAAGAGCGATCAAAGTGCTGACTTCGGTAGAGGTATTTATATGATTTTATTCATTCATACATGTTATTTATCTTGATGATAATTATTGTTTTATTCATAGACAAAACCGTTACAATCATAGAGCCATGTCCAACAAAAACTTCAGTCTTAGCTCTTGCTGTAACTTGCGCTCTCATGGTGTTCATTTATTTATGTTCGTTGTTTTGTTACTATACAAAAAAGTGGATGCACCCATCAAAGATGATGCCGTAACAACGATAAGTCATAAATTTTCGACTCTATGTATGGGATTTTTCAACAATTAATGAATAATTTCATTTTTCCGAAAACAAACTATGCGAGTTTATAAAAAAATTAAGGAGATAAGAACTGCCTAATATGAATGTAATCAAGCATTTCTGATTTACATTTTTTTCATCATATTTTTGCAACATTTTCATTTTTAGGATAGAATATTTCTGTGTTTTTTATGGGTGCACTTTCTATGGAGTTTTTGATTTGCATAAATTTCAAAAAATATTCCATTACATTTTTCTTAATAATGATGCATTTGAAATACCAGACAAACTGCAATAAAATTATTTTTGAAATTGTTCAGCTCTCTTTTCTTTCTTTTATGGAAAGGAAACAAAGGCCAATCGTGAACTTACATAGAGATTGTATGAAACATAAGATACCTTATTATTTATTTTAATATTTAAATTCTATTTTGTAATGTTAGGAACACGAAAAGATTTTCTAATAAAATACATTAAGGGCAATAAATCAATAAATCTTTGTTCATTATTCATTGGATATTCTTTCAGTAATAAACAAAAAGATATTCGATTATAATTTCTTACATGTACGTTAAAAATTATTCGCTTTCATTTCCTTCCTTAGAAGGTTAAACATGAAGACTTATTTGAATTTTCCAGAGAAAGAAGAATTATGTTGAGTTATGTTGTAGATGTGAATTAGGTAAGTATTGAAGGTCCAATAGAAGTTTCTAAACACTTAAGTAATTAACGTCCAACAATCAAGCCAATTGTATTAATAAAGACAACAAAAGATGATCTTGAAATGAACTTGACAGACGCATTATAAAAAAACTGAAGAGAAAGTTATGTTTTCAAGCATAAAAAAAGAATGAAAGAAGTGGGAAAATATGTTGTTCTTCCTGTCATAAATAATTTACTTCATTTCCTAAATATTTTTCACCTGAAATGTCTTGAACGAAATGAAACAGATCAACCAATTCTTCACATTTATTCCGTTTAATTTTATCACATCAATTTTCCTATTTTACATTTATTAATGTTGCTTTAACGTTTCCAAAGAAATTACATAAATAATAACTAAAATACTTCAAAATGTCCAAGACCAGACATATTTTTCCCTTTCGGTCTTACAAACTATCAATTAATGAGCTTATTTCATGTCTTAGATTGACTTAACTAATAACGAGATAATTTCGATGGACAGATAATTATTAATGATTATTTTAAGATGAAATATTCTTAATTTTTTTTCTTAAACTTAAAGTTTTGTATGTCGTAAGCACATATTTATAACAACCGCAAGTGTCAGAATGAACATGTTAGATTTGAAGAATGTAATATTTTTTATGTTAGATATGTTTTAATATAAATTTAAACTTTTTCTAAGCATTTTCAATCTTTGCGATGCATAACAAGAACTGAAATGTTAATCGTTATTATTTATACTTATTTTTATTACGCTAAGATATCAATGAAAGTTTGAGCAATAAAATGAATTGAAAAAATAGCAGGAAATTCTAATATCTAAATTGAAAAAGAGAAAATTATTGCAAAAGAAAGAATCAAGAAACATCAAAAGAAGGAAAGAAAGAAAAAACTAATTGTGTTTCAACTCTTTATTAGTTAACTACTTTAACGTTTAATGTTTCGAACATATTTATAGAAAAAGCTTCCACAAATTATGTTTGTATTAAAAATCATGAGTTTTAATATTTTAAACGATACTGTATTTTGAAGCTTCTTTTAACTGGAAACATTTTTTACATAATTTTTTATTTCATATGATAAGAATAAGTCTTTTTCTAATAAGTATGTATATGGTAATGGAATATTATCAGTTGGATTAATTGATCTCCAGTATCTCATTATGCCAAACAAACAAAAAAAAAGATCAAATAATTTATTTGATGTTCACAGATATTTCATTTTCAGTTTTCTCTGTTTTTAAATCAATAACAATAATAAGACTGTGATTCCTTGAAATGTTTTAAACGATATTAAAAGGTGGGTTTGAGACAGCAAGAGGAGCAGCATTGGCCACTAGATTTACACCTGATGACGTTGATTTGCTGTTGGCGGATTGTGATTGTTGAGCACTAGCAGATTGTCTCATTTCTTCAAGAGAAGCTCTAAGATTTATTAGTTTATCATGGAAGAAACGTTGAGAAAGATAAGATGAGAAATAATATTTTTACTTAAAAATAATATAGACACACATAAGATGTTAGACATTTGACATGAAGGCGTGATATGAACATAAAAGATATTTTAATGTCAAACAACAGTAGGTCTGTCATAAATATTAGTAATTCCAATTTGATATGCTTTCAGCCTCCACTTTCCTCGATTTAAAAGGTTAAGAAAAAGTATTTGCCTTTTGTTGTCGTTGATCCTGTCTAAGAATCTTGTTTGTCTTATTTTTTGTAGATTTAGAAAAACTGAAAACTGTGAGAACGTGAGATTTTTGTCTTTGGTTTATGTAGATACATAGTTGTTAACGGGAAATGTTTCTTAAGATTTCCAGTCGTCTTCAATTAAAATATTATGTTGATCGTTTGATATTGGCTGAGAAGTCGGAGATGCTACTGCAGCCATATCCTCACGGGTACCTCTGTCATTGAAATGAAATTATTTTCACAATTACCGAGCCATTGTTTTGTGTTAGCAATAAATAGTGAAATAAAGAAAAGAACGAATTTGAGAACAAAATTTTTCACAAGTAGATTAACATGGGATGGATTCATGCAGTTTATATGACACAATAATGAAACAATAATTAGAGAATATAACTCACTTTTTGCCTAATCCCATTAAGCCATAGATTACACCGCTTCCAAATACAAGTCCACAACCAAAAATACTTCCAAGTCCAGGACACAAAACGACGGGGACTATTGATATTCTAAAATGAAAAGAAATGTCATCAATTTCTTATAATTTTTAGTAAAATATTTTCCTTACATGCAATAGAAAGCTGCACGGTTCCATAAAGGTCGTTGTTCAACTTTTCCAGCCATTGTTTGTACATGATCAATGAACATACAACAAAATGGAGCTTCGATTGCCATCACTATGAAGCCCACGCAAACCTATGAAAAATAAATACAGATATAGAATGAAATATCAAATAATCAAAAATACTAAATCAAACTCACTTGAATTATGCCTGAGACGAGGCAATAAACTTTAGCAAATAAAATGCTTAAGCAGTTCCACAACCCAAACAAAACGCAGACTGAAATGAGAACATTTTGATAGTACCGGTTAAAAATATTTTTTCAAAATAAAGTCAATTATTCATTATGTTTTTAAAAATTCCGCCACGTACAAAATGCTCCAACTATCCCAAGTAATCGACTGCCGTATTTGAAATACCATGGAGTTCCATCGTCTACTTGACTTTCAGCATTTGGTGAGGCTTTATTCAACAGGCCGATGATTTTATCCTAAAATATTTTATCATTAATGAATTTTGATCTTTAATTATTTGACGTAAGTATTGATAAATCATTCAAAAACAAAAATTGCCACATAGAAGTTTATTTGTGTTTCTTACCATTCTTTGTCAGTTCCAATAACAAGATTCCTTAAAAAATATGTACAAATTGTACAGATATCTAAATTTTAATAGTTTTAATAAACTTAGAAGTTTATCAGTTTACTTATAGTTTTCACTACTACGAATATTTTTTAATTTATTTCTTTTTGATAAATAAAAAGAAATATGCGTATCTCTTCAATTCGATTTCAAATTGTCTTTGACTTTCTAAATATATTATTTCGAGGAAAATGTCTAAATAAAATGGTTCTTGGTGGATATTTATGACTTGTGAAAAATCGATTTTAGAATCATCAAAGAATATAAAACATAGACTGACACTGCTTTGAGAAACCTATTCGGGATAGTTAACTTTTGCGCTTATTCTTTCTGTGTTTATGGTTTTATTTACTTTTCTTTTTGATTTCTTAAAAATCAACTTTTATTATGAACTTTAGAGAGATTGTTGACTGTTCTTTATCTAGAAAAAATAAAAGCCGAGTATGACTTCACACGGAAATGTAGAAATGATAGGATGCTATGATTTTGTGCCGATTCTGAAACGGTTAAACTTTGAAACGGTTTTTAAACCGCATTCGAGGGATCAATAGTGGAAAAAGAAAAAAATTCTAGAGAATAAAATAAGAACAAAATATTCGATAAAGCTTCAAATTTTCCATTGGATTTATAATCAACTCTACCATCATGGCGGGTAATTCAGGAATGGAAAATCTTATACCAATAATCAATAAACTCCAAGACGCTTTTACATCATTGGGTGTTCACATGCAAATTGATTTGCCTCAGATTGCTGTAGTTGGTGGGCAATCGGCAGGCAAATCATCTGTTTTAGAGAATTTCGTCGGAAGGTGAGTATTTTGAGAAAAACGATTTTTCCTGTAAACTTAAATTATAATATCTTGTTGAATATGATTAAAAACACAGACTTGAAATTGTTGTGTTAGTTGGAGAAAAATCGATGATGTTTAATAGTGTTAGTGAAAGTAATATAGAAAACAAAAAAAAATCTTTTGAAGATAAAGATGCTATGAGTAATATTTATTAACAAATGACAAGTAGTTTATGAATCTAGTCTTAACTCATATTTTACAACTTGATCAATAATGTTCTTGAAAAAATTTTGGCAACGGGAACCCACTTTTATCATAAATATTAAACATTTTATTAAAAATTACCCAGAAGTTGCACCCCTAAAATTAGCCCAATATATTCGAGACAACCTTGAACGATGTTACATGTCTAAATTGATAAAAAATTTACAGAGATTTTCTGCCTCGTGGATCTGGCATTGTTACTCGACGTCCTTTAATTCTTCAACTCATTAATGGACCTACAGAATCAGCTGAATTCTTACATTGTAAAGGCAAAAGGTTTGTAAACTTCGATGAGGTACGAAAGGAAATCGAAGATGAAACAGATCGTGTAACTGGAAGCAACAAAGGAATATCAAATATTCCTATCAACTTACGCGTCTATTCGCCCCATGGTAAAACTTTTATATTATTTTCCACGTAATGGTTAAATATTGATTGACCTTTGTTTTTTCTTCATTGATAAAGTGCTGAACTTGACACTTATTGATCTGCCAGGTCTTACGAAAGTTCCAATTGGAGATCAACCTATAGACATTGAAAGTCAAATTAAATCAATGATCTTTCAATTTATCAAGAAAGAAACATGTTTGATCTTGGCTGTCACACCAGCAAACACAGATTTAGCAAATTCCGATGCATTAAAATTAGCTAAGGAAGTTGATCCTCAAGGTATTCGTACGATTGGAGTAATTACAAAGTTGGATTTGATGGACGAAGGCACCGATGCGCGAGATATTTTAGAAAACAAACTCTTGCCCCTTCGAAGAGGATACATTGGCGTAGTCAATCGTTCTCAAAAAGATATTGAAGGAAAGAAAGATATCACATTGGCAATGGCAGCCGAGAGAAAATTCTTCCTTAGTCATCCATCATATCGACACATGGCTGATAAAATGGGAACACCATATTTGCAGAAAGTTCTTAATCAGCAACTTACAAATCACATCCGTGATACTTTACCATCTTTAAGAGATCGTTTGCAAAAGCAATTATTGACATTAGAAAAAGATGTCGACCAATTTAAGCATTTTCAACCCAACGATCCAAGCATTAAAACCAAAGCAATGTTGCAGTAAGTTTTAAGGAAATTTTAATAAATCACTTTATTTAATTTCTTTCTATTATCAAATTTAAGAATGATTCAACAACTCCAGTCAGATTTTGAGCGAACTATCGAAGGCTCTGGTTCTGCTTTGGTGAACACTAACGAACTATCTGGTGGTGCCAAGATTAACCGAATTTTCCACGAAAGGTGAAATCTACTTGTCTTCTTCAATTCTCATAGATAAATTAAAAATCTTTTCAGATTGCGCTTTGAAATTGTGAAAATGTCATGCGATGAGAAAGAATTACGCCGTGAAATTTCGTTTGCAATTCGTAATATTCATGGTATTCGAGTAGGTTTATTCACACCAGACATGGCATTTGAAGCTATAACAAAGCGACAAATCGGTCAACTTAAAGAGCCAGTTTTAAAATGCATTGATTTAGTTGTCGTTGAACTATCAAATGTTGTCAGAAATTGTGCAGAGAAAATGAGTCGTTATCCGAGATTACGGGAAGAAGCTGAAAGAATTATCACCACCCACATCAGACAATGTGAGCAGAAATGCAAAGAACAATTAATTCTCATGATTGATTATGAGCTGGCATATATGAATACAAATCATGAAGATTTCATTGGTTTCGCCAATGCTCAAAACAACACAGAAAATAAGTCAAAGACAGGAACTAGAAGCTTGGGAAATCAAGTCATTCGCAAAGGACACATGTGCATCAACAATCTTGGCATAATGAAAGGTTTGTTGAACATTTCACATTAAAACTTATGTTAATAATTAATTTTCTTTGCTATATTTAGGAAGCTCCAGACCATACTGGTTCGTTCTGACGTCAGAAAGTATTTCATGGTTTAAAGACGAAGATGAAAAAGAAAAGAAATTTATGTTACCACTTGATGGACTTAAATTACGTGACATTGAACAAGGATTCATGTCAAGACGACATACTTTTGCTCTTTTCAATCCCGAAGGAAGAAATATTTACAAAGTGAGTTTAATTTGAGTTTTGAATGATTGATTAATCATTTATTCATGTTTTAAAAGGACTACAAACAATTGGAATTATCTTGTGAAAATACTGACGAAGTTGATTCATGGAAAGCTTCTTTCTTACGTGCTGGTGTTTACCCAGAAAAGGATAATGCTGAGAATGGCGAAGATGTAAGTGGATAATTTTTACTTCATGCATTTAATGCGTCATTTCTCAAATGTATACCAAATACTAAATATTTCATGTTTTCTTAATGACAAAAACTCTAAAAAAATCGCACGAATGATGCAAATGCAGAGAGAAGGAGCAGAGGTTGGTTCTGATGTAAAGATAAGATATAAAATTACTAAACTTTATCCTTCAAGTTGGAATTTCGAATTAAACTCTTGTTTGTTTTTCATATAATTTTTTTTCTGTAAAGCGAAATCATTAAAAATCCAAAAATTATCGCTAGAAATTATATTTTCAATTTTTAAACGTTAACAAAAAAAAACGAAACTTAAAAGTTTCAACGTTTAATTAGTGTCCATTTAGATATCTAATCAAACTGCAAAAATGAGATTAAAAAACTTCCTGTTTGCATGATTTCTTTGAATTTTATTTATTTCGATAAAGAATCAGAATTTATTTTATTTAGATATCTTATTGGATAATGTTTGACAAGATTTGCCTTTCAATCCTTCTTGAAATCCATTTTATTAGACTTTTAATATTGCTTTTAAATTAGAGTTCGTCTTTTACAAAGCAACTTGCAAGAATGTTTACAATAAAATATTTTTAATTAAATAAACATATTTGCAAGCTGCCATGAATGTATAAGAATTGTTTGCAAGAAACTTCTTGATGCGCATCTAAATTTTTTAAACTTATTAATGAAATCTCTTTAAATGTGATAATGGAAATTGTAAAATGAAATTGTGGTGGATTTAACAGGACAGCGGAGAACAACAAGCAAGTTCATTAGATCCACAGTTGGAACGACAAGTTGAAACCATCCGAAATTTAGTCGACTCATACATGAGAATTGTTACAAAAACAACACGCGATATGGTGCCTAAAGCCATAATGTATTTAATTGTTAATAACGCAAAAGATTTCATCAATGGCGAATTATTAGCTCACTTATATGCTAGTGGAGATCAGGTGAATAATTTAATTAAAAATATCAGAATTTTCAATAATAAATTGAGTGGTTTTAAAGGCTCAAATGATGGAAGAGAGCCCTGAAGCTGCTGCTAAGCGAGAAGAAATGCTCCGGATGTATCATGCATGCAAAGAAGCTCTCAGAATTATAGGCAAGTTCCAAACCTAATACTTAAGACTAATTAAATTAATTCCTTAATATTTCGAATAAAATTTTAGGAGACGTAACTATGGCGACATTCTCAACACCTATTCCAGCTCCAGTTAAAAATGATTGGCTTCCTACGGGTGAAAACCCTAGGCTTTCACCTCCAAGTCCTGGAGGACCACGAAAAAATGTTCCTGTTCAGCAGGTAAATTTTTTCTTAGAATTCAAATGCTCCGAATTTGTTAATTAACGAGATCCTGATCTTATTAAGGGATCACTGGGAAGTGCAACAAGTCGAGGACCACCACCTCCACCAGCTGCCGGAAGACCAGCTCCTGCAATTCCAAACAGACCCGGTGGAGGTACGAAAAATTATTAATTTAAATATTTAAAGTTTTTCCAATAATTTTGATTTTAATATTAGCACCACCAGTTCCTGGCGGTCGTCCATCTGCTCAAGCATTGCCTGCACCACTTATTCCATCGTAAGTAACTAACTTTTGAAATTCATTTTTATATTTCGTAAAATAATCGTGAGAAAGCTTCGAGTAGATAAAAAACATTAAGTGATTAACTTTACGTGAAAAAAAGACTAAATTTGTTTAATTACACGACTTCATAACTTTTTTTTTGCGAAATCATTGATAATCTATCATCATCTACTGTTATCAAATTTGTAACAAATATTTTCGTTTCATTTTCTCTTCCTTCTTAACAAAATAACTTTTAACGGAAAACTTCCATCAGACGACGTTAAATTTGTTAGCAAGCAAAACTGTTGTTTAAAGAGACTTATGAATGATGATCCCTTTAATAATGAGTATTATTTTGGAACAATAAGATCTAAATATGGCAAATACACTAAAATTTAAACTCCCCTACTCTTATTGGAATAAAAAAGATGAAAGAAGAAATTTGAAATATTCAAGGAAACATAGCAACATACATTTTCCATTAAATTTATAAATAAAAAATTTATTAATTTGTGATGATAATTAAACAAATTTATATTTATTTATGACAAAGTAATAGTTGATATTTAGTATTACGCTTGTTACAAAAAACAAAACAACAAAACAAACCATAAAGGAAAGAAAGATATTGAATTCAATATATATATTTAATTAAAGTCGGCCTGGTGGCAGTGCGAACGTTCAAAACATGATTCCACAACATATGCGTCAACAGATCAATCAACAAGTGGGACAAGCTGTTACGAATGCTGCAATGAATGAGCTATCAAATGTCTTCGCTAGTAAATTCAAGTAAAAATCCTACATAGTGATACAATATAAAATATCTGTTGTATACTGGAATATTTAATTATTAATTAAACAAAAGAAAGAAGAAAAGAAAACATTAAAAAATTATGTTCACGATTCGACTTGTTGCATAAAATTCAAAGTTTAATGATAAATATTGCATTCGCTGTACTGCAACTAAAAAATTATAAATTACTTACAAATATTTCCTGCTTTTAGACATATATCTAGATAGATGTTTATTGTTGAAAAAGCAGCTTTTCAGCTTGTGACATCTAAGTTTTAAAAAGCATTGTATTTATATCCGATAGTAATTATAAAATATTTGAAATATTGATCAGATATCTGAAACCAATTATTAATATGAATCAGGTGAATGGACATTTAAATTTAGAAAGCTTGAAAGAGATTCTGAAAAGTCTTTTGTTTCGCAAAATATCTAACATGTTAGGAATTAAAAAAAGAAGTAACATTGAGTAAAATAAAGTAAGTTCAATTCCATATTTCATAAAAAGAAAAGCATTAAAAATGAAAGGTAGTAAGATGAATAACAAAGTTATATTATACAGTGCAAGATAAACATTTATGATTGAATCATGTGAGATGAAGTTAAGTAAGTCTTTGTATTACAGACGAGACCATCATTGACAAATTTCATGTAAAAACTTTTCGTTTTTCACAATCTTTTTGATAAAAAGAAAAGTTTTCGATGCTGCGATTTAAAGATTTATTTAATTTCCTACTCCCTGAAATGGTTCAATATCAGATAATATCTTTAAAATATTAAGTTAAATAGTTCGAGAAATATATTAAAAACATAAGTGTTCGTATCGAGTTTAATGATAGCGTGTTAATAATTTTTCTCTATATGCTAGACATTCTACTTAATGGAGAATTGACGGTAAAATTACACTTACTTATAACTATATTAATATAAATGTTTGATGTGGTGACATTCAACATTCTTCACACATTCTCACGTAACAATAAGACATTTATCATTCCTATATGACTAACAACATTAAAAGATTTTCATCGGCGCGAAACTCCAATTCATGAGTCATGAAACAGTCATCATAAACTTCAACTTCATTTAACATTGAGTTTCCAAGAAAAAATATTAAACCGGCATAGGTTGTTGTTTTCAGAACTAAAAGCATTATTTTCCTCATTACAGGTGTGAGACTCATCCCGTTCATTTTCATTTTTCAGTTTGAAACTTTCATATGAAGATTTATTACTTTTTTATGTTTACCATGTTCATGAAGTATCTCGTTACAAAACAGAAGACTTTTTTTTTAATTAGCTTGACTATCTTGAATAGAACACTCTCTAATATTAAAAAGAAATCAATGGAATACATATATCTACTTCTAGAGTAATAGAGGAATTTTAGCAATGATATGTGTGCTGGTTTATTTTTCGCCTGTGAGGGATTTGCATGCATATTTAATTTAAATATTAACAGGGAATCTATGGAACAGAATACGACGAATGACAGTTATTAGAGTTATTATCCAGGGGGTCTCTGCAGCTCTCTATGTTTCGACAAGATCATCATTTATTTCAAATTTAAATGTTTGGGAGCAGAAGAGATAAATTTGTGAAAGATAAATAGAACTTGACATGTTAAATTGAGCTTTCCTAACTCCCTGGAACTACCCACTATCAAGTACATAAAACAACAATAGCTTACGGCTTTAAGTATAAATAAGCGAAATATTTCAAGAGATAATATTTTTATTAGAATTTTTTATGTTATTTCATTCTGTCAACTGTCAATTATAAAGCTAAGATCTACTGGCCAAACGAAAATATTTATGAATTGCCAGAAAAGATCTTTGACATTCTGTCCACAAAAATTCTCTCGAAAGTTTACGTTCTCATACTAAATACCTCACTTTAGAAGTGATTTGAATTTCCTTAATAATACGACGAAAAATATTTTAGTAAATAAACGAAATTAATCCTATCATGTTCTCAAAGCATAACTTATGATTTTTGATTTAATTTCAATTTACAAATGTAAACACGATTTTGTTTTCATTAATCTGAGTATGAAAAAGTAAAACGCACTTAGCATAAATAAATGTTATGAAATCAAAAGTATTTAAAATAAATATGAAAATCGTGATAATTAAAATGAAATGCACCGAACGAAAATTTCAATGTCCTTTTTGCATTAATTTCTTATGGTCGATTTTTGTGTTTTCTTTTTAGAATTTTCCAGGTCCATTCTTAGTAACTATCATAGTCATCTGAAGATGCTCTAGAGCATTGTAATTCTTTAAAGATATTAATTTTTCATTACGTTTCTCATTTAAAATCATTTTTCTGTATCTGACTTCCTGAAAAAACTTATTTCTTCCCCTTAATCTAAGAACTTTCTCTTCAGTTGAAAAACCAAAATTGATCTTAATATTTTAATATTTCAAATGCAATAAAAACCAAAAAAAAATATTTTGTCAATGTGTAAGATAGCTTCGAAGAAAGAAAGGAGATGATAGTGTAGAAAAAATAAAATATATTTACAAACAAAAATAATCCTGTACAAAAAGTTGTTCCAAACTGATAACAAATCATGAAATACCACAAGCATTCTTCTTGCATAAGATTGTATATCTCAATAAAGGAATTATAAAAATTACAAGCGCCTAAGACTTATTTTTGTAACTTACTTTGATACTCCATTAAATTTATGTTAAATATTTTCATCCCTAATTTTTCTTTTGATCTTTGTATTTCTTCTTTGTAATTATATTTCCTAATTTAAAAACGATTTTTATTTTATTTTTTGATTGCTCAAATATACATTTTGACATCAATTTTTTGTACTTTTTATTTTAACAGACGACCGGGAGGATATCCGAGCTACAAGACAAAATAGAATACACAAAAACACCAAGCAAACTATCATTATGAAATTGCATTATTTAATTAAGATGTTATTGTTTCAAATGAAATTTTTAAATTATTATCTTTTTTAAGTCATAGCTGATATTTAACAATTCTTATTGATTATGTAAATAAATAAAAAAATCAAATTTCATTTTGAATTAGTCATTTTTATTATTATTATATTTTGAAATAAAAATGTTTAATTTACATGTTACAGCATAAATATTAGGATTTCATCAAGCAATTTGAGGATAGAACTAATAAGAGTTAAAACTTCCTTTTATGTTGTTTTTCAGAAAACTTTTGGACATTATGAGAATATATAGAACATCAGCTTTGCAAGCATCTAAGGAAAATCGATATGGTTAATTATCGAAATTTTAATAAGAAATTTTCTTTCCTTCATACTTAAAGCCTTAAAACTTATAATTCAGAGCTAACACTGACTGATGTAGATCCCAAAATCTGCTTACGAAAAATAAAAAACGTATGTAAATAAATCTAAAAATAACTGAAAAGATCCGAAAGTGCCATTAATATTTCTCTCTTTTCTATTTATTCAAACAACATTTTTCAAAGCGATCTGGAATAATTTTTAAAACTTAATTACACGATTCATCTTTTATTGCTAGACTGTTCTTGTTAATAATTTATTTTGCTATCGCCCATGGAAATCTTTTGTATTTCAAGAAATGTTAGATTTGTAACGATGATGTGATGTTAAATATTTCATCTCGAACAGTTAATTGATAATGCATTAAATTGGTTTCTTTCTCACCTCTAGAACGAACAGTTGCTAGAGAGAAGGAAGTCGATTAAATTTTATATTATTTATATTTTCCATCACTGAAAACGTGGAAATGTTTGAATCTTAAGAAGAATTGATCAAATGAATGAATTGACGTCGCGATTTTTGTTCAGTTATGTTAATTAATCTGTCTGTATTATAATTAGGCATCATTATTACTATTAATACTATCTTTATCATTGGAATACAACTTTTCTGATTTATTTAGATAGTTATAATGTTTTCCATAGTTACTAGCAAAATAATATTCTAACATTCCATTCTCTTTATATTGAAAGTGCTGACAGTTTATTTTTATCATTTCGAATAACATGACGAAGGTAAACTTTATAGCTTAATAAACTACTAGAAAGAGTCTAGTAAAATGTTGGTAACTTGAAAATTTTCTTCGTTTCGTTTTCAGATATACAATAATGATGATCATAAGCTTTTTAATTATCTTTGAAACTAGCATGCAGAAACGTTGAATGCATTTGTAAGATTTCATCTTATATGTTCATGAAAGTGAAAGTTATATTTATAACAATTTAAAACAGTTTTATAACAAGAGCTTTTTAAGATTGAACATTTTAAACTTTCTACGAGTTTTTCTTTTTCTTTAAATTTTTACAAAACGTGTAAAACTCTAATTAATTGATGAGAAACAAAAATATTTATTTAGATACTCTTAAAACTTCATTTTAATGCCAAATTCTATGAAGCTAAAAATGAACGGCTTGTCGCTGTTAGCTATTTTTATATATTGGAATTAAATATTACATGGATAAATATTTTAGTTTTTAAGAGAAGAAAACAAAGCATCTTTTGAGACAGTTTAATTAGGAGTTTGTCCACTTTAGTCGTCTTTTGAAATTGCTCCCAAGTCGCTTAAAAAGCCTTCTGGTGTTAAAATGTGAGAAGATCCAATGATAACTTCCCAATTCTTGTATGCAGCTGTAACCTCGTAAGCACATCTCATTTCGGAGTAACTCATACCACCAACGATGAATATAATGAGTCGTGGAACATTTCTTATAACTGGTTGTGATTTATCCTTATGCCAATGTCCATAACGTGCACTTGTTGGCACACTGTAGCTGGTTTGACCTGAACGATTTGCAAGATAAGGGAAGTGCTTCAAATCCAACTTCTCATCAATACAATCTTCCATTATGTCTTTAACAATTGGCGTCCAACGAGACATTTGATAAGTTTGATCTGTGATACGCTCTTTCCTTGGTACTTGATATTGCTTACGTCGGCTGTTCTATGTATTTAAATTGTAATTATTTAAATAAAATTAAATAACATTTTGATAAATTTGCTTTGATATTTACATCTGAAATAGCATTGATTCCGAGATGAGCCAAGTTCAAGATCATTTCTCGTTCACGTTGTTCAATTTGCGCATGAGTTGCGAGTTTGGTGAAGTTTTCTTCCGAAATGCCATTCTTAATCATTACATAGAGAGCAATGATACGAACTTTATCATAATTAGACACTGAAGTGTCAAGAAGAATCGGTACAATGTTTCTCATGTGATCTTTTATCTTTTCATCACCAGCATCAGTTCCCATAGCCAAATCTTGTTCAACACGACATAATTTATCAATGTATCCCTTAGAATATAACGAGAAGTAGATAAATGTGGAGAAGAGATTTACTTATATTTTGTTTCATAAATCATTCAAAATTTAAATCCTCGAAAATTGATTCGAAAGAGAAGAGAAAAAGAAAAACAAAAAGAAAAGTTATCAAACCTGGTAGACTTTCATGCAATCCTCTGCCAAATGTAAATGTGTCGCATATTTTGAGAGCTCTTTTTGATATTGTGGCATTTTTTTAATCATCTGAGATAAATCACGCATTGATGATTTATCAGTTGATGCCATACGCTTCGATTCAGTGAAATTTTTCAAATGTGCAGTCACTTTTTGTGAAACAACAGCGATATGTTGGTGACGTAAATCACACCACAAATCATCGTTTTCATCTAATAGAACTTCTTTCTCTGCGCCTTGGTTTTCGTACTTATAAACATCATTCGAAATCGGCAGCAAGTCGTACGCCATTGCTTGTAACGTTAATTCATGCAGTAATGGAGAAACGCAATCAAAGCCACGATCCAGAATCAACAATGTTGATTTAGCCTTTTCGGGCCCTTCACCCATTGTTGGTTCATCGGCTTTGTAAGCGTCCAATTTTTGTTGTATCAATTGGGCCAATTCAACATTACGCTCCCAATCACTGCGATAACGTATTGACGGATACTCGCCCAATGTTGCACAAAGCGTAGCGACTTGCTCCGCAATACGCTCCATGTTACCAACACGCGCAGATTTCAAGCTTGGCGAATAGCTACATTGAAAAGTATCAGGAGAATCCAAAGAGAAAACCTAAGAAAACAATGAGAACAAAACAGTTTTGGAAGTGTTTGACTATCAAATTAATTGGCTTTTGTTTCGTGTATCAAACTTTGAACTGTGTTAATGATTAACATAAACAAAAAAAAATCAACAAAAATATGTTAAGAATTGTGTGTTAGATTTGTATCTTGTGTGGATAAGAAGGAAAAGGTACGAATTGTCAATGAACGATCTCAAAACTAAAGAAATTTTGTTTTTAGATCGAACATTGATGAATCTAAAAAGTTTGCCCTCTTCCAAGAAAAATAAATTACAATGTGATGTGTAAGGGAAAGTTTCTTAATTAATTTTGTGAATAGTGAAAAATCGCTTTTTACAAAATTAATTATAAAACAATCTTTGAGATGTTGGAAGTGAAGAGAAAATTACAAAAAGAATTGTTGGGGAAATTGAAATAAATTCTATAAAGGAAATCAAAATAGGCTCGGAACTAGGAGCAACATTTTTAATTATTTTAATTAAACACACCTGACATTCATATGGAAGGAAAGCAATATTGATTTCTTTCAAAGTTTTTATTCGACGGGCAGCCATCGATTTGCAAATATCATTAAAGAGTTCTTCAGGACACACTGAAAATGAAATTTAGATGGATAAAGCAATGTGTTGTGTTAATTCACCAAAAAGATTAATAGAGCGAATAGTTTCGTTAGTAAATGTTAAAAATAAAATGAACCAAGCATGGAACCAACCGAAACAAATATCAGACGATTATCAGATGATTTCATACCTGATCTTGATAAGGAATGAAGGAAATGTTGATCTCTTTACATGATTTCATGTATTTCACAACATTTTGACCTTTAAGTTTTTTAAATAATTTGTCTGGAACCGCTGAAGATCAAACAAATTTTCCAAATTATAAAAATAATAAATAAAAATTTCTTTTGATTTAAATGATTGGCTCCAAATACTAAATAAATATTGGAAATGTAAGAAATTAGAATAGAACTTACCTTCTGTGAAAAAAACATGAGCACCCTTATAGAGAGGGCGTGTAGGAGATTCAAAGTCACGAATCAAGCCTCGAACAGAATCCTCACATGGTGTTATCAAATATACTCCTTCCATTGTTTGCAAAGGCTCTCGTTTTTTGTGTATGTCTTCAACAACTATCAATAATTAAATGTAGAAATTTAGAGAATATTTCTTGCTTTAATAATGTTGACATACTTGTTATTCCTTCTGCACTCAAGTCGTGCATTTTTGTACATGCTGACACCATTCTCATTGAGAGCTTGTCAACGACAAGAACTCGCCATTCAACTCCAGCTGCCTTTCCCGGTTGAGTTTTCTTAGGAGGTCCTTTATATTTAATGACCTCATTCATAATTTCTAAAAGCATAACAATGGTTCTAGTCATTATTTTCCTTAAAACAATAGAAACTTTATAGTTTGATATCAATTGAAGAAAGGTCATGTCTTCGTGTTTACTGCGCAATCTCCTCAGTTTTTCAATGGCACAGATAAATTTTAAAATCAATATTTTCTTCTCACAAAGTTATCTTTAATATCTTCATATGAATTCACAAATCTTCACGACATTTAGTTAATATTTTAGAAGTTTGAATCATAAAGCATAAATTGTTGACTTTTTTTTATAGAAATCGTTAGATAAATGTTTTGCAAAAAGTTTTGGAAATTTTATGTTTCTGATTTCATTGAGTTCATCAACACTTCTCAACATATTATCTTTACATATAGTTTAATGCACTTACTTTGACCAACAATCAGCTTCAAAGCCATGACTGTGTTTGTAGTTATCAGCAAGTTATTAAATGAATTCACTGGTTTTATTTATCTATCTCAGTTTCGAGTCAATTCTGTGACTCAGATTTCCTTCAAAACCGATTAATCTACCCGATTGGGATTATTTTCAAGTTAAAGTACAAGATTTTTTGAAGAAATCAATTTCAGTTGACAAAAGCTTGGATAAACCCTTGAACAAGTATTACATTTAGGTTAAAGCAAAATTTATAAATAGATCTTCTTTTGAGACAGATCTTTGGATAGTTATATTGAAAATTGTAAGAAAAAGCTGAATAAGGAATTCAAAATTTAATTATATATTTAAGGAACACAAAAAGTCACATGATTAAATACAAAGAAATGGGAATGTTAAATTCTTTGACTGATTTCATTAAAAATGGGCTTCCGATCATTTTTATGGTGTTACTTATGTGCAGTTCATCACTTTCAGACACTGATTTTGAAATTCAAAGAATGGTAAGTGATCACTTAAAAAATCCTTAAAAAATATTTTATTTCTTTTAAGATTTTTCATTATTACAATTTTTTTCTCTTCAGGTTCATTTTGAAATAATGGGAATACCTATCGGCTCTGCAGGATCATCACTTAATATGGAAGCAAGATCTTTCAGTTCAGATTTCAATTTTCGTAGTTGTATTCTAGCGAGGTAAATTTCAGTGATATATTTGAATAAATTAAAGTTTCTACATTTTTTTAATTCAGGATTCAAGATTTAAGTGTAGATCTCTTTCGTGTAATTAAATCAAAGGCTGGTGGACTTGTAATTCTTATGCCTCAAAATGAAACTCAACTTAGTCTAGAAGAAAAAGAGGTAATTAAGTTGGAATTAATGAATTTCCTGAACAGACTTTAAACCTTTCAACACATTGCTTTAGAACCTCTTTTTACTTGAACAAGAAATGCTGAGCGAAGAAACTCGAGTTCCAATTTATTTTGCAAACTATCATCAGAACTTAGCAAATATTATTGCGGAAATCGATAACTTCTCATCAAAGATGAAAATGGATTTTCTGAACCAAATAAATTCTAATGGTTATCAGGTCGTAGTTGGAGGTACGAATGCAGTTATTAAAAATCCAAAAATATCAATCATTCAAGGTGAATTACCAACAGAAGTGAGTATTGTGATGATTCTTTATTCACAAACATTTATAATAGTTTTTCTTTCTTTTTAAAGGATCCTCAAACAAACAAACCAACCATTATCATATTTTCCCAATTAAAAACATTTGGTGTAGTGCCTAACGAGTTACCTAATCTTGATGCTACAATTTTAATGTTGCTCATTGATAATTTAAGCAAATTATTCAACCAAAATTTCTCATCTAAATATAGAATCATTTTTGCTTTGCATGAAAGTGGATCTTTATTAAATTTCCACGCTACTAAAAAATTCATAGAAGCAAATATCGACGAGGGAAATGTAAGAAATATTGAATTCGTAGTCTGTCTTGACACACTAGCTGAGAATCCTGAATCAATATTCTATCTACATTCATCAAAACCAATTACAAATCCTGGAACAACGACCAAGTTTTTCGAAGTTCTTCAAAAGAAAGCAGAAATGTATGAAGCAACATTCGATTATGTTCACAAGAAGATAAACTTGGCTGATCCATTTCATAAATGGAATCACGAAATCTTCAACATCAAAAAGAATCCAGCTTTTACTTTGTCTAGCCTTAACAACCCCCTAGATCCATTAAGAACATCATTTTTTTCAAAATATGCTTATTCTTCGTTATCATCAAATGATCATCCGGATTCAGATTATGATTCCGTCATGTTGAAGAAGATTCAAGTGACGACTAAAATTCTTCTTGAAGCTTTGGTTCATTACATCTTCAATTTGGATGAAGAAGCGAAGGACAAGATTGCTAAAGACACACTCCCAATAGATGAGCAATCGATTAAAAAATATATTTCTCTTCAATCAATTCAAAAAAGTCACAACATTAAAACAGCATTTGAAATGTTCCTCAAGAATGTAAAAATTTCTTACGACAAGGCTGACAATTTAGATCCTGAATTCAAATTTTACGACCAAGGAGATTCAAAACTTCACATTTATAAGTAAATTATAAAATCTTTTTTACAAACATGCAAATTAATTAATTTTTCTTGTTTTAATTCTAGAGTCAAACCAGCTTTATTTGATTTATTCCTTCTGCTCATCATATGTTGTTACTTATTTTGTCTCTACTTCATCATAATTCATTTCTCAAAAGTCTATGATTTAATACAATCAACAGTAACAACTAATCATGATGAAAACAAAACAAATGGTGTTAGTCACGTCAAGTCTAAATATATTTGAACATTTTTATTATGAATGTATTCATTGGGTATGCAACATAGAAAGGAATTAATAAACATTAGAATTTTTAGGTACCGAATTGAAAACAAAAAAACCAAAGAAATTAAACTTATCTATTAAAATACGGAAAAATAAATCAATCTGCGTCTTCAATCACTGAATACTGCCGTTCAATTCTTACGAATGATACGACAGCAACATCGTCACTATTGTTTCTTATCTCATAGTAACTGCCTGGCTTGATGTTTAAGTAGCCGTATTCACCCAACATAACAATCTCGTTTTCTATTTTAAACTCAACTTTCCCATGAAGAACCAAAAATTTCTGGAATAAAGTTCATTGTCAATAAGCGTGCATATATAAAATATTTAACTTTTTCTTACCAGGAATGATGTTTTTGAACGAGCTTTTGGTTTATGTCCACCAGAAATAAGTTTAATGATTCCATCATTTTTATTTTTAATGTAGGAACCAAAGTAAAGTCCATTTCCACAATCTCTAAATTTCAAATTTGACACATCAGCCATATCTAAAATAGAAGATTCATTTATAATTCGTCAATGATAATTTATGATTAATACTCACCGAAATGCTCAGAAAGCATAAAATGTGGAATATTTCTCTGACTACTTGGTTGAACAGTGGTTTCTGCATTTAAAATGCTCAACAACGAACTCGACTTTACAGATGATCCTGATGTTGCAGATGTTGATGTTGTTGAAATCTTTGAAGAAACAGTTGAGTTTGCTTTCGAACCCAAAGTCTTTTGAAATGTTTTTGTTCTTTTTTTGATAGAATGCTTAGATTCTTTATACATCTTTAATTTGTCCGTTGGTTTCAAAAAATTATGATAATCTGAATGAAATATTTGCTTCTGACTGACATGATCCTTCCCCATTTCGCGTCTAAGCATCTGTTCAGCTTTCAATTGCTTGACGCTAAAATCAGTATAAGTAATATAAATGTCCTTATCGGTTGTCCAATAAGGTCTTGCATATCGTCTTGGTCTTAATCCCAGCCTAGTACATCCCATTTTATAAGGATCATATCGAATGTTATTGCATTTATTTTCATCTTCATGCATATTCTCATCATTTTCTTCCATTGAAATATGTTTTTGTCTTTTTGATCTTTCTTTTCTTGTTTTTGAGGATTTCGTTTCTGTCTTTGAACTTTTTCCCTTACTTTTTTCCTTTGAAACTTTAGCACTTGATGTTTTTGTAATTGTGAATTGTTCTTTTTCCTGTAAATTGTTTGTCTCATCCTCAATAGATTGCTGTTGATTTGATACATGGTCTGCATCAATCGTAGTGTTTTTATTAGTTGTAAGAGATGGTTGATGATTGGGATTTGTAATGATTTCTTCACTCTCAATTTCTTCAGGGCTGCTGTTCAAATTTTCTTCTTGAGAAACAATTTGTTCTTGTGAATAACTGACATCGGCATATAGTTGTCTTGTTCTAGAAATTCGAACTTGTGCTTTTGAACTTTTCTTCTTTCTGTCATTTGTCAAGTTTATGTAGGACTTTGTTGTTTCATTTATCTTGCAGATCTTTCGTTTTCTTGACGGAGCAGAAATTTTCATCGATAATTTTGGATTTTGATTGGAATTGTCAAGAGAAATAGTAGCTTCGTTAGCTGAGCGCTTTCGAAGATTACGAAACGATTGAACTACTTCCCCAGGAACAGTTTTGGATAAACTGTCATTAGCATTAGCATTCTTTAAATTTGCATCTGCTTTTGCTAAATCTCCCACATGATTATTCACATTTTTGTTATTTCCATTGGGGCTTTTGTTTCCTGCAATTCTCTCGACTACTACATTTGCACAACTTCTTGGAATGTTCATCACACTTTGATACTCTTGAGTGGTGATTGTTTCAATTTGTATTGAACATTCTCTAATATTAGCAGGAGTCGTTATGCCACTTTCATCACTTGTTACTTGTGCTTGTCTTAAGGCATCATTTTGTTTGGCAGATTTAACATTGATTTGTTTATTTGGTCTCACTAAAGGAGTTTCTACCATTCGAATTTGATTCATATCAGTCGTATTTTGAGGTCTGACTGGCTCACAAACATCTGTGATTTCTTCAATTTCAATTCGAGAGCTTGATGTATTTGCTTCTGTCACTTCTTGAGATGTTTTATTGTTTGCTTTAGTATTTTCTTCAATAGGATGATTTTGATATTGCTGTCTCAAATCTTGCTCGATATTTGCAATTGATGTTACAGTTGGAGTTCGAATAATTTCATCAGATTTGTTTCGTATCGCTTGATTATCATTTGCATGTTTCGCGATGGGTGTTTCTGTTCCAAACAAATTCCCACAAAAACTCTTCCTAATTCTCCGCATTGGTGTTGAGGAAATAACATTGAATGTTGGAAGAGGAATAGATTTCGAAGAATCTGATGAAAATAATGAGCGACATGTACTTGATTTTTCTGGAACAATTTTTTCTTCATTGAGTTCATTTAAACTCTTCTGATTTATGGTATGCGGCGAAAGTGCTCTCACAAGAAAGGGAGTAACATTATTTCTGTCTTCTTGTTGTTTGTCTCCTTCTTGTGTTTCAGGAATCTGAATTTCTTTAGAAGTATTACCATTATTTGTTCCCGACAATCTATTTTCTTCGTCTGATTTATCATTTGCTAACATCCCTTTGTCAGTATCTTCTGACATGCTGACAAAACGTAATCCATACGACTGATTTTTCTAGTAATAATAAAGGAATTCTTTTTACACGCAACTTTCTAATTTTCATTAAGAAACTTACATCTGGTCCTGCATCCTTTGCCGATGGCATATGAAATAATTTATTAAACACTCTTGCATTTTTTTTTCTGAAATTTTGCAAGATTCTGGAAGCACTATCAATGTCTTCACTATCTTCCAAATCATCCAGACTCGTGTTCTGAAATTGTCTAAAATATTTTATTGTAAACAAAAGTGCAATTGTGAATTTGAATTCTTCAATTAACAAATGAATGTAAATAAATACCTGTCTCTATACATAACTAAAGAATAAAGATGTTTATGTGTTTATTTCAAATATTTTATAATAATAAGGAATGAAGAAACTTAAAAAATCTTTTTAAAAATAAACTTAAAAGTTTCGAAACTGTTTGGCCGTTGAAAATATGGTTATTTCTAAATTGTACTAAAATTATAACAGTTGAAAAACATCTGGTACTTCAGTTTGACATTTGAAAACTCGTTAAAACTTTAAAAGTTCAGATTGTTTAATGTGACTCAATGAGAATGTTCCTTAATCATTACAATTTCTCTATTATATTTATGAGTTTCAATGTTTCTTTCCCAATATTTTATGTAAAGAGTTATTTTAAAAGAATTTTGATATTTTCTCAAACATTTTCATGAAATAGAAAAAACTTTGTCTTTCTTTTCTCTATTCGAGTTAATATTTTTCGTTTATTTAAACGTAACTCGAAATTGCGATCATGCGCATATGATTAGTGAAACATGAAACACAGAACAAAAAACTTAAAAAAGTGTAAACTTCTTAGATTTAATTAAAAAGCTACACGAATGGTTTATAATATTTTGTAGATTCTGTGAAATAAACCTTAAAGTTCGATAGAATAAGTGAATAATAGTATTTATTAGCAGTCTGATTTGATTTTCTTTGATTATAACATAATATAAAAATAATACAAAAATTTGAAAACACAAAGAACTAGGATTACTGAAGATTTCGAATAAGATATAATGCTTACAAGAATAAAAGGTGAGACTTAAGGGTAAAGTTAATGCAAATCAAAACAATCATTTTGTAATAGATATTTGAGATTAAACGTGAAAAATATAAAAGGTGATCAGAGTTTTTTCATCGCATAATAACTACATTATCATAAAACGCTTCTGATTTTTCTTGTTCATTTTCGTTTGATACTCAGCGTAACACTCTAAAGTCTTTAAAATAAGATTCATATATTATCATTATATAGATTGATTAGGCTGAACCTTTGGCTGAACCTTTAAGAAAACTTTTATACTTGTCATAAAAATGAAGACGGGAATCTAAATAAAATATTAAATAGAAATTATTTTTTATTGATATACAATATGAAGGTTCTAAACCAATATGCTTACTCAATGTTATTGATCAAATTAAAAGTTTATATCATAGCACATAAAGATACCTACTTACGGGTACTTATTTTAATTAATAATTTTCATTGCTACTTCAAGCGTCTAATATTTTGATATCTGCTTCATACTTAATAGAAAACTCTTAAATTTCATAGGATGTTTACTTAAACGTGAATGTAACCACAAAGACAAAGTATCTACGATTTTACAAATATTTACATTAATCCTTTGGATTCATTTATGTGGAGTATCTTTGATAGAAAAATGAACAAAAGAAATAGCGAAAAATTGTCCTACATGAGTCAAATAGGATAAACATTTTTGTTAGATGTCGAGAACACGAGGTCATAGAAAATTAATGTTAAAAATATTTAAATTAATTATTCAAAATTATTATCTCAGAGCTAGTATAGAAAATAATGCAGCCTGGTTTGGGAAAGTTTTATTTCTAATGAATATGTACATATAATTATGAAAATCACATTACAAAAGTAACACTTAACTCCTTTTTTTATCCTACAGTTGTTTTTTAATAATATGTTCAATGCAATAAGTTAGCGTTGGTTGTCTACAGGGAGCTTTCAAGAGAAGAAAATATATAAAAGGATATAAAAATTAAAAAATGAACGTCTTTCAGATCTTATTACTATTCTTGGTTGTAATAAAAGTTAAAAGAGGTAGATATGACAAGATAATATCATGATAATGGCAAAATGATTAATAACTCTTGTATATTTCAGTATATTCTATAGATTGCTTCAAATGCGTGTCTTTAAATGGACAAAATCCCGAGTGTGACGATCCTTTCCATAACAATTTTTCATCAGCTATCCTTGAAAGTCCATGTGAGTAATATTTGGATAAACCAACAAGCAAACTTATTTAAAAGAAAAATAATATTTTTCTTTGAAGGTATGGGAGGTCGTAAAGGGCGGGATGGACTATTTCCAGCAACCAGTTGTATCAAAATTGCTGGATATTTTGGTACTTATTTACATTTCTTATTTGTTCAGATATTTATTTTTTCTTCATTTCAAAGACGATAATGGAGAGACTATAACAGTTCGAGGTTGTGCATTAGATTCTGGAACATTAACAACCGATACAGAAATTATTAGAATGAGTCACTGTGGAAAATTTTATTATGATGAAAGGTGATTACAATTAAGCTGTTGTTTGTAATATTTTTCTTACAGATTTAATCTATTTTTAGATATGTTCACGGATGTTTGCAATCATGTGGTAATAATATTCATTTAAAAGCCCTTAACAAAACTTTTTTACTTCTTTTCTTCAAATCAATTTCTAGGTGATGCAGATGGCTGCAATAGCGCGCGATCTATGATAAATATTCATTTTCTTTCAAATATTTTACCTATTGTCGTAATATGTTTGGTTTTATTATTTGGAAGATAACATAAACATGGATAAACTTTGTATGTTAATATATAATTATAATTTTTGGCAACAAATTAACGCATTATCAGAGCCCAGTTTAAATTTTCTTGTAATGACTAACTTTGCATTACAAATTAACTAAAGCATTCATCAAAGCAAGCACGAAGAAAACATGAATTTATTTACTTTTTAAATTAATCGTAAAATAACAAAATATTGAAAATTGCATAAAATTGTTAATGGATAAATCCATTGTATTTGAAGTCAATTCCAATTGGCGCTTTTTAAAAAATGAGAGAAATTGAATTGTGAGGAAATTGTAAACCGTTATGTGCTCCCAAATTACAAATGATTCAATTATTCAATTACTTATTTCAGTTTAAATTGCCTATTAAGCCTATCTAGTGAACGAAATTTTATGAGCAATCGTACAGTAGAAAAACAGCAAACCAAGCATTTTTTAAAGAAAATACCACAAGAAAGTGCCTAGAAAGTATAAAGGTGAAAATTGTTGAAATTTTCAATTAACTAAAGAACCAAAAAGCTTAAATACTTTGAAACGTACAATTATCTGATGGTTTGAAAATGAAGGTTTATTACAGAAAAATACATCGGCCGATAGAAACATAAAAAACGTAATAGTCAGAGGTCCTAAGTCTTAGGATGATAGAACGTGGGATCTACTAAGTGGTCTCCATTATTCCAAATGAACTTTAGAAAGCTCAAAAGCAGAGTGAGCTTTAAAAAATTGCTTAACTACCTAGACAATTTCTAAATACCTAACTTTCAAATTATCTATCCCTGGTACAAAAATTCGAATAACACTACCTAGCTAAATGATGCTGCACTGGTACATTTTAATGTTTTTTCAAAGAATTACGTAAGCTTTTACTGTATGAAAAAACATACTAATTTAAATTTTAAGGATATCTAAGTAACTTTTCTTGTAAATTCTCATATATCTCATTTCCAATATATCTCTGCATATATATATATCTAAATATTTCAATCCTAAGTTCATACTTACTCATGTAATATTTACTTATTTTGTGCAAAATTTAACATCTAGAAAATATAAAATTTATTCGTGAAAACATTCATTGAATGATTAATATTTGTATCATATCAAGTGAGATAGCAAATGGAATTCTGTAGCTTTTTGCACAAAGAAAAAGGATCTACATATATAAAAATAAAGTTTAATCGATATACATAGGAAGAGCTTAAATTGTAGATGTTTACTCAAGTTTTTTGTTTCTTTTTCAGAACTACCTACATGAGGAATGAAAATTACCATTTTAGACAATTTTTATCTTGCATGAGTTCACTTTTTTCGGTATATAGAATACGTTGATCAACCACATAAAAAGGATATGATAAAGTTTTTAACGACTTTTAAGTTTTTGAATCAAATATTTCGAAAATGTTACATTTTCCAACTTGTCCCATCTGAAATTCATTTTCTTTTATTACGAAACGAGTTAAGGCCCTCGCTTTAAACGGTTTGGTCAAGAAAATTGTTTTATTCTTTACGAAATTGAAATGAAGAAAGTACTTTTCTTTCTGATTATTGTTCGTATCTTTAGCGTGTATTTGGTACAAACATTTTTTTCTCCAGATGAATATTGGCAAAGTTTAGAAGTCGCACATAAAATCATTTACGGGTAAATTTTAGGTTTATATGTTTGTTTATAGTTTCAAAAATTTATGATATAGGTATTTTCTAATGTTTATAGATACGGACATTTGACATGGGAATGGTCACAAGGAATCAGAAGTTATTTACATCCTGTTATAATTTCNACTTTGCCCGACCGGAGGCTGAAATCCAGGTGGAGAGTGTAATCACCCACGGAGAATTATCACGAGGAAAGTCAAAGAGCTTCAAGACCGAGAAAAAAGTTAATAAGCTTACCTCCGAGATTATTGTCAACTTTTAAAGTTCTAATTTAGAGATGAAATATTTAATACGAGTATTACGAAACGAGTTAAGGCCCTCGCTTTAAACGGTTTGGTCAAGAAAATTGTTTTATTCTTTACGAAATTGAAATGAAGAAAGTACTTTTCTTTCTGATTATTGTTCGTATCTTTAGCGTGTATTTGGTACAAACATTTTTTTCTCCAGATGAATATTGGCAAAGTTTAGAAGTCGCACATAAAATCATTTACGGGTAAATTTTAGGTTTATATGTTTGTTTATAGTTTCAAAAATTTATGATATAGGTATTTTCTAATGTTTATAGATACGGACATTTGACATGGGAATGGTCACAAGGAATCAGAAGTTATTTACATCCTGTTATAATTTCGATTTTATACAAAATATTAGCCGTTCTTAAGTTTGATAGCGTTGATTTTCTTGTGTATTTACCAAGAATTTTCCAAGCTCTACTTTCTGCTTATGCTGATTATCGTTTCTACAATTGGTGCAACAAAAAGAAATGGTCTCTCTTCATAGTTGCAACTTCTTGGTTTTGGTTCTACACTGGCGGTAGAACTATAATTAATTCGTTTGAAGCATCTTTGACAACTATCGCTTTAAGTTACTTCCCATGGAGATCAAAAGATGGTAAGTGAATTTTGAAGTTGAATTTTGTTTATTTAAGCTTCGAAAACCTGTATTATCTTCTTTTCTTTCTATTTTTAGAAAATACACGATTTCTATGGATAGTTATGTTTTTAACATATATTCGACCCACTTCAGCTTTAACATGGGCACCGATTTGTATTTATCATCTTAAAAAATCGCAATTTTCTCTTAAAGATTTAATTATTAAGAGATATATTTTAATTGGTCTGATACTGAGCACTTTTTTAGTTGCGATCGACACATTTTTCCACGGATCTTTTGTCATTACTCCCTTAAGATTCTTTAAATTCAATGTTCTGAATTCTGTAGGAAGTTTTTATGGTCAACATCCTTTTCATTGGTACTTAAGTTCGGGATTGCCAGCAGTTCTTGGCATTAATATAATACCATTTTCCTTTGCAGCATTAAATATTCTTAAAAATTTCAATGAAAACTCGGTAGATAAAGTTCTGTTATCTTCCATTGGAGTTACTTTACTTGGATATTCTTTGTTATCTCATAAAGAATTCCGATTTCTCCTTCAAATCTTGCCATTATGTCTTTTTATCACAGCAAATTATCTTTCTAAATGGAGTCGAACAAAATCGAAATTCTATATTTGGATTGTTGCAACTGTCATTTTCGTTGCTAATGTTATACCTGCTGGTTACTTAGGATTCGTTCATCAACAAGGTCCACTTAAGGTTGTTAATCGACTTGCAAAAATAGCTGAAAAATATGAGTTGGAACAAGGAAAGCCTCCATACTTTTTCTTTATGATGCCTTGTCATTCTACTCCTTATTATAGTCATATTCACGTCAATGTAACTATGAGGTTTTTAACATGTGAACCACCTCTTCAAAATGATAACAAGAAATACATAGATGAGTCTGAGAAATTTTATGAAGCTCCCATGAAATGGATTAGAACTCATTTACCTGTTCACCCAATTACTGCTCTTCCTACTCATATTGTTTTATACGATACATTGCTGCCTAAAGTTAACGACTTTTTATCAATCTATAAGCCAATTGATTTGTTTTTCAATTCTGATCACTTAGTATCTTCTCGTTCTGGAAGAAATATCCTTCTCTATGAGCGAGTTCATCATGAAGATAAAACTGGTTAATATCTTAACTTTCAGGATATTTAGAATCAATGCCTTAATTAATTTAAGAAGAAGCAATAATGATCACAAACCCTGAACAGTCAAAACTTGAGTTTAAGAAAAAGATTTCAATTTCAATTAAATATCGTAGATAAAATTTAAAGCCTTTTTAAAAAAGAAGAATAAAGGATAATTTTTTCAGTTATCATTTTAATATCACGAATATTAAGACTTTTATTAGGTTTATCAAATAATTGAAAAGAGTTCATAATAAAAAATAATAAATAACAAAATTTTATGTTGCGTAATATTTTGTGTTCAATACATTAAGTCAAGCATAAATTTCTATGTTGCATAAAAAATATGGAAGACATAGGTAATTAACTTTCTAGCATTATGCGGTTACATTTCTGGAAAGTTTGCCAGGTTGCATAACAAGAGCGTTGATGATTTCTTGTATGAACCAACACAAACGCTGTAAATTATACGAAGCAGTACATAGATCATTTCGTTGTCGATCTTTAGAGCGACACATATCGAATTTCAATGAAGTTCTTTTTAAGATAATTAAAACAAATAAAAGAGTTTATAGTGATTTTCTGTTTACAACATCAGTTTATCAAAAAAACTTGTTTCACCATTAAAGGAAAAAGCATAAAGGTAAAGACAAGAAAACATACGCAACCATAATTTTTCGAAATGTTTTTTTAATAACAACAAAAATTAGATAGTAATTAAGTGAGTACGTTTTATTTTTGTTACATATATACAAAGATGAAGGCTACGTTGAAGATCAGAAATATTTAATATGCAATTAAATAGGTATTCATAAATTTATTTTTTCATTTCTTGCCTAGTAGAAATATTGAAATTGAATTGTCGTTTGTCACGAAAACATTATCGCACATTTTTATCTGTGAATTTATTCTGATAAGAAAAAAAATTAAGGTCATTACTTTCGCACCTTTAACATTTAAATAGATAGTGAATATGAAAGAAAATTAAGCAAAGCACATAGACATTTATATTTCAAAAAATATTTGACGTCGTTGCCAGATCATAAATATATGTTTGTTTACATACTTCAAAGAAAAATAAAAATGAAGCGTATAAAATTCATGCTTTCAGCATTTATCTAAATATATCCAGCATAGAATTTTATCTAATTTAGTTCTTCATTTGTATCTGTTCATTTTAGATTCACGAAGGAAATATCTAGTTAGATAAAAAGTAATGGAGTCTGGGAAGATTTTAATTGAAGATGATGTGAAAAAGAATAAAAATGAGAAATCAATTTCAATTGCACATCTCGAAAGAAGCACAAAAGTTGATTCAAATAGTGACATGAGAAAAAAAGTTTTTCTAGAAACTCAAAAGCCGGAAGATAAAATTGATTCTCAATTTCAATTAAAGCGTGAAGATTTAAGATTGAATAAAAGGTCAAATTTATTGATCTCAGAACGTGACATCAAAAAATTTGTTGGAGGAGATGAAATTATTGATAAAAAGAATCCTTTTCGTAAAAATGGCGATCATGCTGTAAAAAATGAATTGTACATTGATGAAGAAGATTTTAAACCAAAGTCACGAATTAAAATCAATGACGATGACTTTATTTCAACGGAAGAAGTTCTAAAGCAATCAAAATTCGTTCCAGTGTATATTAAAAATCCAGATCGTGTTCTAACGTACGATAAAAGTCTTTTAAGAGACTTGAAAAATGTCAAGTTACAAGCGAAACCAGTTAAATCAAGTAATAGGCGAACACCTTTGCCGACTCCTAGAAAGAAGGTTGAAGTGAATGCAAAAGAAAGCAGATTTATTAAAAAGAATTTCTCAAATATATCTTCCGAATATCCGAAAATTAAGGTAAATATTTTATCATATCTTCTCCCTTAAGTTTCATTTTAATATTTTAATTGATGACCTTCCAGGTTAAAGTAGGTACAGAGCTTGATGAATCACTTCATGATCCTAATGAAGTCATCATAAATGCATTGAAATTCGATAAAATCTTTCGTAAAATGCAATCCGAACAGACAGAAAATCTTGACGACCTCGATCTCTTTGAAGAACAAGATCATCATGATAAGTCAAAAGACGACATTGATGCAAGTCAAGAAATGAATGATCTTGGAAATGAAGAGAAATCTTACACAAATATTATAAGTAGCAATGAATTCCGTGAATATTTAAAAGAGAAAGGATTACGTTTATCGACGACTTTTCCCACACGATTTAAGAAATCAAGTGAATCAAAAAATGATATTCCGAAAGAAACAAAAAATATTTCAAACAACACTGCAACCGAATTAAAAGTTAACGTTCCTTGTGATGAAATGTCACGAAATGAAAAGACGGATAAGAAGAAAACTGTCTTTGAACGTTTCTCTAAAATATTCACAAAAAATAGAAATATTCCATCATCAGATAAAGTCATGTTGAGAAACTCTTCGTTCAATGAGAAATCTTTTGTTAAATCAAAATCTGATATAAGACGAAGAAGTACAACTCAGGCATATGATGGATCAGTTGTTGTAAATAACGAATTTATGACTTCAAATGTTAACCAACCTAAAGAAAACCATAGAATGAATCCAAATAAAGTTTATCCTGAATTTAAATATGATACTATAATAAGAAGGTCAGCACCGTATAGTCAACCAATTCATTCAACAAGAGTGTATTCAAGTACGCCCACAAAACAATTATCAAGGGAAAGTTCTAATTATTATAAACAACAACCAAACGGTAATGTTTATAAACCAACTTCCCGTAAATCATCATTCCAACACTCAGATAGTTCACACTTTAATGATCATTTAGAAGTTGATCCATTCCTTTATGCAAAAATTCACGAAATGAAGAAACAAGCTGACGAAGTTCTTTTAAAGAAAACTTCTAATCAACAAATCTTGCCAATTAAAGTTCCTGAAAGTCATAATAATAACGAGAGTATTGAGAATCCGTGCTATGGTGAAGTTATGTACTACAATCCAAATGGAAATCATTTTAATGTCATGATGCGTCGAACTGAATCGTCATCGCTAAGCAAGAAACAAATAATGGAAAAGATTTATGAGTATTATAAGAAAAACACTCAAACTCCAGAACATGATCAGACTAATTTATCAAGTGCTTCAAAAGCTGAAAAAAATTCACATAACATTTACTCTTCATTTTCACATGGCAACAATTCTGACGCATCTTTGTTTAGAAGGCAACTTAACGCAGATTATGACTTTCCAATATCGAGGCCTGAAACGAGTCATTCGAAACGTACTATTACTAATACTTTAGATCGATCTTCCCAACGATTATCTGATAAAGAGTTGGGAGGAATATATGATGTTGTGTATGAATCAACACCTAACAATTATGAATTAGAAACTAATCGTAATAAAGACTTCTATGCAAGGCCACAAAGTAAAGTTGGCACAATCCGAAAAGTTACTTCTCCATCACCAGTGAGAAATCAAATCGATTTTGTGGATATTGTCTACAATAACATAATTTACCGACCTATCGCAACTATAAAAGAAAATGAAGTTTCCCCTATTTGTGATACACCGAAATTAAAACAATATGAACATTTACCTATTCGGAAGCAAATTTCGACAACAAAAACTGATGAAAACTGTTCAATTAAAAATGTCAGACAAAGTTTCGTAGGTGAGAAATTTTGATTCCATTCCTTCATTATCAACAATAAGAAGTAGGTTCACGTATGTCTATCATTTTATAAAGAAAGAAAGTAAGAAATATAATTTAAAACTTTATTATTAAGAAAAGAAGGGTATTTGATTTGTTCCTGGCATCTACTTATATATTTTCCGAATTAAATAACTCTCTCTGCATATTTTCCAATAGATTTTTTATTAAAAGAACTTTTCGATATTAGATAATTATTTTTAAATCTCTTTTCTTATATATTCAATGACTTCCAGATACTTAGAATTTGAATGAACATCGGTAATAACAATAGAAATAATAATAAAACTGGAAAACGATGAAGCAGAGTTCTGTTGGAAAATCTTGTCTTCTATGCGCGCGCACGTTTTTGTTTATAACTCATAAGGGGCGTCAGATAGCATGTATTCCATTATGTAGTCTCAAGGATCAGTTTTTGAAATATTTTTTCCTAAATAGATTGTAAATTTTCACGTTTTTTAATTAAAAGAGAAGTGTTTTTTAAAATAATAATATTTAACTTACTCAAAACCACTAACGGTATAACTCTATTGTAAAAACATTAAAATAAGTTGAATGAAATAAAGACGAAACACAATTCATTCTGAAAAGTGTGAAGATTTTAAATATTTGCCAAAAAAAATTGAGGTGGTCATTATTTAACATAAACTTAATATTATGAATAAAACCTGCGAATAATGTTTTGTGTTGAGAAAAAAAGATTAAATTGCGATGTTGTCATTTGAAACATGATTTAGAAGGAAGATTTAAAATTTTAAAGTTGCATCCTTTTAATTCCTGGTAGATAATTTCCATCCTTACCTTATTCAAAGCTAATTTCATGTAAAGAAAGTTTATTTACCTATTTGCCTCCCTAGTTTACCAAAATACTTTCAAATTTGATAATTTAGATTCATTTAATATTAACAGAATTAAAAGTTTCTTAAATTATATCGGCTACGCCCAAACATTTTTATTTCACAAAGTCCTTTTTCTCAAATCAATTAATGATTTCAATAAATTCTCCTTGAAAGGTGGTAGATAGTGTTAATATAGAGAAGAAACCCTCTTATTTCCTTCTTATTTCTGATATCCCATGATATTGAAGTGACTCAATAACGATTTAGTTACTAATTCAAGAGAAAGGGAGAAAATACGAAATAGGACATTAATTATTAATGCCATTCCAAAGTTCCTTTGTTTATAAATTTTCCTTTTAAATTATCTTGTCATTTTTTAATGATAACATGTTAACTTCCGCATAAAGATAGATAATACAATTTAAGTGAAGCATAAAATTTAGGAGAACAATTGGCAGAAATGTCCCTTCAATAAACCTTTTAAAAAGTCATTTCGACATCGCTACTGTCATCTTGCAATCGAAATGACCATAAAAGTATCAGAAGAAAAAGAAGTTTAAATATTTTATAATTCTCTTGTTCAATTTATAATCATTCTTTATACATATAAAAACAAATTTACATCGCTTCTGTTACATTTTAAAATATTTATGTATTTATGAAAATTCTTAAAAGTTTTAACAGAAAAAAATTCGTGATATGCATCATAATACCATGCGGTGTGTGTGTGTGCTTTTCAAAATTTGAAGAAAATATATTTGGTACCTAAATTAACGTTTTTAAAAGAAAAAGGGTTGGTTGTCAGAGTGAAAGTTTCAGAGAAACCTTTAAAGAAATTTAAATAATATTCAAGACAATAGAATAAACAAAAAAACATTAAAAATGCTCATTCGGTGGAAAAGCAAAGACAAATCATCATCTGGAGCTTCGAAAAAGAAGCGAAAAGGTCGAGAAGGTATTTAACATTCAATTCATACGATTATGTTATGCTTCTGTTATGTTTTTACGCCGATTTATCAAATTTCCTTAAATTTCTACAAATTGATTAAGAGTAAACATTGATATGTGATCAGGAAGATTTCAAATAAATTTGTCGTATTTACCGATTTCTAAATTAATGTTATGATTAGATGTACGATTAAAAATTAAGAAATGATTTTTAGGAATTTCCATTAAAATTTTTAAAGTCGTAATTTTCTGTTTTCTTTGGAATATCTTCAATTACGAAAATTAAATTCATTCGTAATTTTATATACAAAAAATTTAATGTATACTCGTAAAATAGATTTGTTAATTGTTTAGACAGACGTAATCAGTTTTAAGATGAAAGAAAATGTATTTTTGGTAATTAATTAGACAAGGAAACTTTTTGACTTTTTGATTGATTAGATAAGTTACTCTTAATTATATTTTGCATGTTATCATTTGCATAAGTGTGATGGACATTAAAATGTTTTAAATTTTAACGTCTTCTAAAATCATTAATTTTTCTTTTATTAATGCTTCAATGTTTATTTTAGATGACGATTTTCAACATGATAAATCAAACAGGAATCAAATTATTGATCAAGGTGAGAAAATTAGTCTGGAGAACTTAGTGATACTTTTTTACTCGCAATTACGTAATTTTACTCGAGATTAGTTCAAATTACCAAGAAAATCGATTTTCTTATCATGTAATTTCATATTTCTTGTAAGATTAACAAATGATATTAAAAAACAAAGAAATTTTTCTTTTTATATCTACCTCGGTACATTCATACATCCGACCATGAGAAAATATTTCAACAACATTAAACAATGAATAAATAAGTTGATTGATTGTTTTTTCTTTAACAAAGAATGGAGAAAATATCAGAAGTTTTAATCTTCCTTAATTTCCGTAATTGTCTTTTATATTGTTGACGGCATTATAAATTATATTGCAAGAAGCGAAAAGGAAAAAAGAAATCTTGACGCATATTAAAGAGATCGAATTTTCTTCACATATCCATTGCAAGATCCAGAAAATGAGAAGAAAAATCTGGCTAAATTTTTTGCCACATGAATTCTCATTTCATTTCTTTTCTCAAATACTCGAAAATTGAGTTGAATATATAATTAGTTTTTCTCTTTTTTTTTATTTGATTTCGGTTAGTTGTATTTCAAAGTCTTTCTAAAAATAACCTATTTAAATTTTTTCCGAAATATGATTATTAATTTTGCGTAAATTTCAAGTCAACCTCCATTAAATTTAATTGTTTTATCCAATAGTAAGTAAATATAATCGAGTTTTAAATTAGTTGTATCAATAAAAAATATTAATATTAGTGAAAACTAAGCAAAATTCAGATTATTGCGAGGACTTTAAGGGAACATATGTATTTTGAATGTATACAAATGAAATCATTTCCTCAGATGACCTCAGATAAATATCTGGCATCAAGAAAAGCTGTTTGAATAGTCTGAAAAGAAAAGAAAAGAAAAAATAGTTAACAGCATTTACTTAAGTTTTTATTAATAGAAACACTATTGATAATCTAAATATCTAATCTACACATTTCATATGGTGTTTTGAAAATAATGGATCGTTTTTGTGTTTTGTCCTCGACAGTTAACGACGAACGTAATAGACGTCCAACAGGAAGAAGAGAAGATCGAGAAAGAGATATTCGAAGACACACATTGGGAGCAGACATGCTTTTATACGGAAATCAAAATATGAATCAACGGTCAATGGACATGGAGGTATGTTTGATAACCTACATCATGCATTACCGATAATTAAAAATTAATTTTATTTTCTTCCCCTCTTAAGATGAATCAATCACAGAAAAATAGAAAGGTTAGTTAAATTACTTTATTTGTGAAGATAACTTAATTAATATATTCGTTTAAAACATAAATTAGGGAGTTGCAATAAGAGGATACACACCTCAAAGTCAAGGTCCTTTATTTGATGATGATCCCGGTATCATGTCTGAAGTTGAAACAGCTAGTACAGGTTTTCGAAGAGGTGGAAAGCAACGTTCATCACTCCCTGTTGTACGAACGCCATCTAAAACATTAGAGCGACCTTTAGGTAATTAAGCAGTTTAAGATATTTCAAAATCGTCTTCAAAAATGTTTGACTTTTATCATTCAAAGGTCTAGTATTTTTGCAATACCGTTCTGAAACGAAGAGAGCTCTTTTGCCAAATGAAATAACATCAATTGACACAGTAAGAATAAAAATGTTGAACTGAATGCAAAAGTATAATAATTCTTTTAACTTAAGGTACGTGCATTGTTTGTAAGGTCGTTTCCACGTCAACTTTCAATGGCTTATCTTGAGGGACCTAATGTTAAAATATACATTCATGATTCCAACAAGGATATGTTTTATGAATTAGAAGATATGAGGTAAGTAGATGTAGTTTCTCACATTTTAAAAAACTAAAAAAATTATTTATTTAAGATCACATTTAAGAGAGATAAAAGATAGATCAGTGCTTCGTTTGTTCGAGTCAAATGAAGTAACTGCAACTCCTCAAATTTTATCTGGTAGCGCTGGAATACCCCAATCGTTACCTCAACAGGGAAATATACATTGGGATCAAGATCCGGTTAGTAATTAAAACTCAAACTCATTTTTGTTGTTTCAATTTTATCTTTACTTATACTACATATTTCTTTTATAGAGTTATTTTAGTGAGCCTGAATTTGATTCGGAATATCAGCATCAACATATTCATAAAAGCAAGGTAAGCTTGTTGATAATGCCTGAATCAAAATTTTTATAGAACACATATAGTTTAAAACAAAAACTTCTTAAAAAACGAAAAATCAAAGTATTTCGATGGAAGCATTTATAGAGTGTGAGAATTTCTCGATTCCGTTTAGAAATCTCCACAAATCTGTGCAGCTTTTGCCTTGAGTACTTTAGGCCCAGGTGTTGCTGTTTTCCATGAAAGCACTAAAGCTTGTTGGAATGGCTCTAACAAGCAGTAACTGCAATAAGAAGCAACTGCCTCAACTTCTCCTTGAGCAGGTTCTCTATCATGCTCCTTTATATCTTCCTCTAGATTATCTTTTTTTAATAGAGAATCTTTAAAATCATTATCGCCAAATTGTGCCAAACCATCGTACCAATCAGTGTCAAATGATGAAATATCTAATAAGGTACTATCAGTCGGTATTTTAAATTGACGTTTCTCTCTTGTAGCTTCTTCCTTTTCTGATTGTCTTTTAAACCTTAAGTCGGGTAAATCTTTCTCATCAATTATTTGAACATTTACTGGTGAGTTTTGGAATCCAACATACGAGGAAGGTAAAGATTCAAATTCTTGCTTGGTGATTTGGATGGGCAACGATTTTAACGAAGAAAATTCTTTCTGTAAACTTGAAGGCAATTGTTGAGGTTGCTGTGCAAGTTGTTTAAACTTTCCACTAATCAACTGCTCTTGGATGATTCGAGATCCTCCATGGAATTGGCCATTTACAAAATTAGTACTCAAAGTTGGTGACTGTGCATTTGGTGGTACTTGAGCTACATTAATTTTAACTTTAGTCGGAAATTGACCATTTGCTAATAGAGGATTAACTGGTTGATTAACTACCTGGAAGTTAAAAGTTAAATTAATTAAAAGTGAAATGACAAAGAAATTAAAATAATAAATTACTGGTGGTGGAGTTGGTGCACTTGTTGTTGTTGATATTTCTCCATTAAAATCAAATTTATGGACATGATGATGTTTGTGGTCTCTGTGTGCTTTTCCGGCACTCAAAGCGACTGAATATAACTGAAGTAATGTCAATTCGAAGTGAAGGCCATAACATGTTCGATCGTTCGGTGATTTTCCTCCAGAGAAAGCTTTCCCTTTCGATTCAATTTCGTGTGAGACAAGCTGGAAAGCATAAGCATAAATCTTAATTTATGTTTCACATTTAATTGAGTAATTTTTCACTGATAACAATTTTAAGTGATTAACTGTTTCCAGAAGATAATTTTGTAAATTTAACTTACTCTGTTATAAAAACCTCTTCCAACTCTTTCCGATTTAACCCAAAGTTGCCATTCGCCGGTTTTTCCATTCCATGAAGTGCACATGTGATGCCATTTTTTCATAGCAAGAGGGTAGTTAAGTCGATATAATGAGTGGCCACGCACAGCTAAAGTTATGAAACTTGAGCTGTTCACGTTTGATATCCAAAACTGAATTTCTCTTGGTTCGTCATGCACTATAAAAATATAATAAACATGTATCAATCTCTGTTCAAGCTTCTGCTTATGTCATTTGAATTTAATAATATTATGCAACGATCATTAGTTCAATCATGTTTTATATAGAGCAGGCCATTATTTAAATTTATGTTTAAAAATTATCGTTTTGATCATCAAATTTTCTTTTAAGATTTACTGGTTTTAATGCTTTTTGTGTTATTTATAAAGAGATAAAGAAAAGAAATGAAAAAAGTGAAAGTGAGTATGTAATTGATTCCGAACTATCACACTCTCTTGGCCTCACGTTGCATACGTCGTCAAATATTGGCGAACGATCTTATGCAATAAGTTAAATAAAAATTTAATTGCGTGATTCATTAAAAATCTGGATGAATGATAAACCATATTTAGTCTACATATATTAAATAACCTTGTAATATTATAGAATGTATTCATCAAAATAATTTAAACCGGTATCTATACTGAAACAGCTTTTTAAAATTGCTTTAAGATGAAAACATTCTGTGCTCACCTGAATATGTAAAGAGAACATGATCTCCATCATGTCGCGTAAATCTCACCCACATGCATAACGAGAACTGGTCAAGTTTTTTGAATTTTGTGACATATTCGATTTCAGCTTCATGCTCGAGAGCATATTTTTCAGCAGCACATGACTTCTTTAAATTCATGAATTATTCATAAACAAATGATGTTGAATCTAGAATCAATTATACTTACATCAGAAAGAACTGAGAACTTGTGTGCTGACTCAGGAAAACTATCAGTCTTGTCTCCAAAACTTGTGTCACTACCGGATCTCCTTAAAATTGTATCATTTCTATCGCCAAGAACTTGTTGATAATGGAAGGAAGGCGAGGATGATAAAATCGATTGAAAACTTGATGATGAACTTTTGACAAAGCATAATAATATTATATAAAATGTATAATTGGCCTTCCTTTTAGCCATTTTTATATCAAAACTATTTAACTTCAGTTATCTTGCAAAAATATTAATTTTTTATTTTTTAAACGACTGATTCAAATTGCACCCTTTCAATATTGCTTCTCGAAGTAAACTAAATCTCCAGACAAATAAGTGAAACAATTTTCTTCAGAGAAATTACATACACATTTGCGAAACGAAACACTGTGTAAGAAACTTCGTATACGATGAAACAATCGACTATTTCTACTTAAAAATATAATTTACGCTAAAATCTGTTAAAAAGTGTAGCAGAGAAAGCAAAAGTATAATAAAAAATAATATTGAAATCATTAATTCATCATGTACAAAAAGATCGATGTTAATTTTGATAAAGCATGACAATTAATTTAAAAATAAATTTGGTTGCGGCCGAGATCGAACTTATCTCTTACTTCTGTCATCGAGTTAGTATCACTCTTACTTTCTTTATTTTTCGGATAAGTCTGAAAAGTTTCAGATTCTGATGAAATTTATTTATGAATGATTGAAATTAAATTAAATTAAGTAGAATTAGATATGGCAAAGCAATCATTCTAGTTGTGAACGTTACCTTAGGTACGTGAAAAGTAAAATTACATTCGTAATCCACTTTTATTTTAATGCCTTCTCCATTTTCAATATTAACTTTCAAAATAGGATTTAACTGTAATGGATTTCTTTCTTTCTTTTGACATCGTATATATGGTACCTTGAATTGTCCACGGTATTTTCGTAAAATTTTAAAAACCGGTTCTTAATTGTATAACATAATTGTGACAATCCATGCAACATAATAAATGACAAGCTAGGTGACAACCTCGATCTCTTTTAAATCCCAAGGTTTTTTCTTGGGCACCTCGATATTACTTCATTCAGTGAAGATATCAAACTTATTCATAAATCTTACCAAAAATCGATGATCACCATTTTCTTTCTTGCATTTTACAGACAGGAAAAGCAGCTCCATATTATGTTAGTGCAGCTCAAACGTTACCAAGAGGTCATGTTTATAACGATAGATCAAAAAGTTCAATGAGTGAGTAACACAAAGTCATCAGAAATTAATGTTTAAGATGATATAATTTATGTTTCACCTCCAGATATGCCTTCAAAACCGTTGAGATCTTATGGATCCCGGGGAAGTCTGGGACATTTTTCATATCCATCAGAACAACTCTATAACCTTTCTGACGGTTATATGAGTTCGCCTGAAAGAGGAAATAGAGCATACGAAGAACCCTACTACACGCCTTACTGTGGAGCTCGTGATAATATTGCTCCAACAATAATTGACGAAGAACAAAAGTAAAAAAATATAAATAAAAATTTTAATAAGTTAACTAATTATTTTATTTATTCTCACATAACAGCGATTCATTATCAGCCGATGATCAATATTCTTTGTATAATGCAAAGATACCAAATCGTATCACACGGAATCCAAATCAAATGTATGATATAGCAAGGTAACTAAACCTATAATCTACTTTTATATATAAATATTTACTATTTGCACACATTCGTATTCAAGTACAATAAATAATAATTCTAATAGTAATTTGATACACATGAGATCATTGTCTGGTACATATCCGAAGTATTCAAATTAAATTCACTGAAATCAGATTCAAAATTTGTGTTTCTTTTTTTCCTACCGATTGGTCGTCGTTTTCGTAAAGGAGCGCTGCTTTTCTTAATTAAGGCATTAACAGTTGCAGCTCCATTCGCTACGCTCATAGTGCTAGGATACATATACATTGTACCTAGAATATTTGTATTCAATATAAGATTTAAACAATAATCTGACTATTTGATACCTTTGCTTTTAATTGCTTGTACTATCATACACAATAAATATCCTGCAAACGCAAGGAATCCCATAGCTGTCACGCTAAGTTGAAAGAATGATTGAATCTTACTTTGTTTCTCCCAAGGAATTTCGATCGCATCATATCTTCATGAAATTTAGTGTTACAGAAAATTACTTGTATTTACTTCGTATTTTATTTTAATGAGAATACCTGTCAAATTTTTTGTCGTGCTGATGCAGAAATTCACTTGTTGTAATTAATGAATTATTTCTGCTTTCGTTTATAATTCGATTTTCTAATTCGTCTTCTGATTCATAAGCATTATAAAAATTATTTGAAACATTTTTACGTTTTATGTCCATTAATGATTTCATTAATTTCAATAATTTATTGATAGGAAGTTCACTTAAATAATTTAAATCTTCATTGTTCGGATAGTTATTGATTTGTTTTTTCTTTTCGTTGTCTTCATTAGCATAAACACTTTTCAGAATATAAGGCACAATCAGAAAAACAAATATGCGAAAGCTTTTGGCCTTCATTTTTAGATTGTCTTATGCTTGAATATCTATTTCAGTTGTTATGAGATAAACCTTCTAGTTCTACGTTTGTAGAAAAACTGAGTAAAATTTGGACTAGAAAATAAATAACATTTATGTTGCTGTGCTTCAGAGAGCATGAAAAGAAGCAGAGTTGTCACCTGCAATTTGAATTAACAGTCAATGACGTCAACTTTGGTTCTACTACAAATGATGATTAAGTTTCACTTTTACAATTTAAAAGCTAAACTATTTACTAATCTACATCACTGACGAAATATCTTACGTGGAATTCTTTTTCATGATTTTCTATCTTTCATCAAATTCAAAATGTTTTTTCTTTCTACATCTTTGAAACTTCCAAATTAGAATATAAAATGCGTGTAGTGTGTCGACTGTCGAGTAAAATCAAAAAATAAGTGAAAAGAAAATTATATCTAATTATGGAGTCTATGTCTTTAACATAACAAATACATCTCTTTTAAATATACAAAACACGTACCCAAGTATTTTAAATTATTCTGATTTTAATTGAGAAAGTATTGGCAATGTTATTAAAACTTGTGAACTTGATAAGAATAATTTTAGCAATATGAATATTTATTGACCCATTTAATAAACCATCAACAATTTTCTAAATCTTGATTCTTCTCATTTCCCTTTAGGCCTGACGAACTGCACAGAATCAGAGTGGAGCATATGGAAAGGCAATTAGCTAATTTGACGGGTCTTGTTCAGAAAGCTTTAGTCCAAAATCCAACTGTAACTCCAGCTGCCAACCAGCAACAGTACACTGGAGTTGAAGGATCTTTTAAAAATGGTTAGTGTAATCACAAATACTTATTGAAAATATCTTAAATATTTATTTAGACGGGGTGGGGTGTTTTTGAGATGTAAAGAAGTTCGGATAAGTTTTTAGTTTCAATTAGAATTTTCTTTATGAAATTTACCATCTGATCAAAATTTTAAGGTGCAGGTAGGGTTAGTGAAGTAAATAATATTAATACATATTATCGAAAACTCAAAACCTGAAAAAATGAAAACGTTCATACATTATCTAACACCCTAAAACACTTGGTAGCTGGTAAAATTTTATGTGATTTTTTAAGTTCCGGGAGTGGATAGTATTATATATTAACGTTACAAATTATCAAGCAATACATTTTTACATATTATTACTAATGACTTTAAATATCTCAGGAATGTATAAATATGTGTCATTGTACCAGACTCTACCTCGAACTTTATTAAGCCTTTTAAAATACTAAAGGAAACAAGTGAAGTTTGAGATACACTGGAATGTAGATATATTCGATTACTCAATGTTATGATAACTCAGTTTATTTTTAACTCAAAATAACACTTTTAATTATCTTTATAATTACTTTTATAACAACATAAATTAAACTTAAAAAATTGTTTTCAAAAGCAAACGGAGTGTTGGATGACATGAGTATTAGAGAGAGACCGCCTAAATTAGGAAAATCTTGTAAGTAACTATAAAGCCGATACGGTTTCTTTCTCTTTCTGATATAGAACGAATATTCAATGGTTTAGAAAAAATTCTAATCTTTATATCTGTCTGTTAAAATGTATTGTGAAATCAAAGAGACAACAGAAGTGTTGAACATTTTCCTATTTCTTTTATAGACAAATCGGTATCATTTGAAAAATCTGTGTCGTTCAGCGATGATATTCAAGGCTTTCCAAAAGCTCACAATCCTCAAATGGGTAAATTTAAAATCACAATTTTGATATTAAGTGCAACCAAATAAATTTCTCACAAAAAAGTTAAGATGTGTCGAGCAAGAGAAAAATATTTCATTAAATCAGGGAATTTCATTTAGATTATGATTAAAATATTCAAGAGAATGAAGACAATCAATGAAATATAAAAAGAAGCATGAACTCCATTCTTCTATAATAAGTACCATATTGGTAAATAAATAATAATATTAACACGTTTCCTTGTACATGACTTCTTACTAAAATTAGCAACCGAATCTAAGCCCGCTAAACCAGCAATAAAATCTTCTACCCTTCCACGTACATCATCACAAGGTAACTTAACAATTTGGTACAAATATTTACATATATTTTCTGAATTTTAAATAATTTAAGTAAAATGTAACCTTTAAGTCAACTCTTTACGTTTTCATCCGACCTTCCACACCCATTTTAAACAAAAATTATTATTTATTATAGTATTTTGCAATATTTCTTTACTTATTAGAAAAAAATTGCTAACATGTGATAAAAATGAAGTAGCAATACGTTTCTCTTATTCCTAATATGCAAATCTTATTTCAGTTACATTTAAAAAATAAACATAAATGTTTATAAATTGTTTCTACTATTTTATTTTCAGAACGAGATCGATTGAAACCCATACCACCGCTTAAAAATAAAACTTCCTCAAATCAATACCATGCCGATTTGACTATAGCTCCAGATGTGTATAATCATTTAAGAAACTTACAGAAGAAGGCTAGAGATATGAAAATAGAAATTAAAACACTTAGACGTTTATCTCAGAGTCAGACGATTGCAGTTAGAGAAGATATCAATGACACTTTTATGCGAATACGAGCGACTTTATTAGCAACAAGCGGAAATCAATGGGGACAGTTCAATCAGGAAAGGGTAAGAATTTGAATGTTCATCATTTTATTGTGTTCCTTATGGATATTTCTTTGGCAGACGAAAATTTCACGAGAAGAAGAAATTTATAAGCAAGAAGTTATACGTCTTGAAAAAGATTTAGCAGATCTTGAAGCTTCTGTTGAAGTTTTACGAGGAGAGGTCATCAATAGAAGAACTAGAGTAAATATGACAGCTGTTGAGGATATGGCATTAGTTCTCAGCCGAGCGAGGTAAAGAGATTAAGAACTTAAAAATATTAAAAAATTAACTTATATTATTGAATAAATAAAACATAAAACTTTTCTTATCTTCCTTAAAGCAAAACGGTTGCAGAATTAAAAATGAAATTTCCAAATTTGCAACAAAATCTGCGAAGCATACTCGCTGATGAAATGGAAACTTTTTGTAGAGAAGAAACTTTCTTAAAAGATGAACCTGATCGTCTTGAAACAGCTTTGCGAAGATGCAAGAAATTAACCGGAACATTAGTAACTTTGAAAAGGTATAAAACTTATTCAATGATATTAACAAAGTGCGTAAGTAATTGTCATGGTTGTTTTGCAATTATTTAAACATTAGATTGGCAAGTGTCCAGGAACAACGAACAATTGTGGAGCCGACGCCTCCGGAAACATCGCAAAACGCAACTAATGAAACTTTATATGTAACGAGCAAGGTAAAAATTGAAAAGTTTTTTTTATTTATTATTCACTTTGATAATATTACAATTAGATGAAAAACTAGAAGTTCACAAGAATAATCTAAAAAATTAAATTAAAATTCATACATACATAAAATATGCATATATTTACATGAGCATATATTAGTTAGGTCAAAACATTCACTGGTAGTTATCACTTTGTTTTTCTTGAAGTTTCTGAAACATAATATCATTGATCAGTTTTATGTTCTATTTAACATCCAGTCGCTCTTATAAATATCAAATTTCGAAGTATCATTTCCCTTATTTTTAATAATAAAATCATAATAAAGAAGAAGATATCAAATTTTCGTTTATGACAAGCTCGTATTGTTTACAATGAATAGTTTGCAAAACAAAATGTAATTTACATTAAAGATAATGATGTGACATTGACATTGACATTATTCAAGTTAAATCTACTGAACTTCCTAATATGAAACATTTATATGTCTGTCAATTGAAACATGTCAGAATAGTTTTAGGAAATTTCAAATTTCCACCCACAAAATTTATGATCCTTTAAATAACTTTAAACGCGAACTTTTGGAAAACGCTTGTAAGTTGTGAAAGAAATTACAAAATTAGAAAAATTATTTTCGAGATTCTAGAAAAAAATATTTTTTAGTGCTAAGAACAATTAATTCATAATCCTTTATTTGATCTCAAGTTAATCTTTGTTTCTTTGTTGAATGTTAACTCAACTATTAAAAGATGTTTTATCTTCCACTATTATTTTTAGTTCGACTGGAAATGGAGTGCAAATTTTAAAACTGCCATAAATGATTAAATGCAATACAGAATAGATAGAAAAAATGAGATTAATCCCTTAAATTAGCCAAAATAGATGGGCATTCAGAATAAAAAATATAGTCAAGCAGTTTATTTGAACAAAATAAAGCCAATACACCTTATATCAAACGAGTACAAGATGATTTCGAGCTAGACACGTAAAGCTTTAACATCAAATTCTTTTCCCACGTTAATTATTTTATTTTTTACAAACCTTATTGAAAACATATTGTTTTTTTGTCTTTCACACTTATTACCGTTTTTGCAATGTTTCCAAAATAAAAAACAATCAATGTTCGTTGCACTGAAGATAAAAAGTACAAAAATATCAAAACGAACTTAAAAGTATTTTCTCATTTTATGTTTTCTAAAGTTTGATTGATTTAATTGTCCACTTCTTCTTCTCCACAATTACTTCAATTTTTTTAACTTAAAATATTATTTTCACTGGCACTTCAAAGGAACCCATTCACCTAAAAGTTTCATATTACTTTTTTATTTTTAAATTTCAGTCATCCTTTTGAACATATTATGAATGCTTCTCACTCCCGGTGTTCCGTTTTAATTTTAATGAATTTTTTATTAGTTTTTCCGCAACCATATTAGATATGTATAGATTTTGTGTTTTCGTATTCTCATGTTCAGAAACTTCAAAAAAATTAGCATTGGAAAGATCTGTTTGAAACATTCTTCTTTGCTTTTAGTTGACCCATAAAGCATCCATTGAAATGGTTTTTATTGTTATGATGTCAGTAGAAGAAAAAGCTTCAACCCTTCAGATTGTTAGTAAAGCTCTGTTTTTCCAAAAACCTTCGTTTTCTTAAAAAACTTATTCGTCATTAAATTTCTAGTCTCAAAAAATTTAAAGAAAAGAAACTACATTGACATAAAAATAAAAGCGTTCCCGGTATAGATGAAAAGTGAAATAGATATTTTTAAATAGAAGTAAAGTTAAACTTTACTCAGAAGATAACAATAAAATTTTTAGATTCTTGAACTTCGGAAATGTTCCAAACAATAGCCAAGCTTTTCTGAAGGACAACTCCAAATAAATAAACGATAAATTTCATGCATCATAAATTTCAAAAATCGTCTATGACACCAAGGGAATTTTTTCAATAAATTAAATCAAAACTTGTGATAAGAAGAATGTTTGTGAGAGAGGAAGTGGAAGTTTACTAAACTTAAATTATCGCATGTTTTTATAACATTTTCATACAATTAGATAATTTAAAAATCACGATACATCCCATTTTTGTTCGCATCATTTATTTATATGAAAGCATTTAAATCAGAATCTTTTACCAAATCAGTATGTACACGAACTTTGCTAGTCATTGAGATTAAGCTATCTCCCCATTTCTTTTCTACTAATTGTTTGATGTAATTAAATTAACATACACCAAATAAATAACTACAATATAATCTTTCATTTTGTGATAGTCGAATGCAGCTAAACCGTTTGGAGTGCCGCAAATTGTTTCCAATGTACCAGTACCAGAAAATGCTCTAGATGCACTGCTTGACGAGCTTCAGACATTTGCTAGACCTTCTTTGGAGAATGAGGCAATAAAATGTTTTTTAAGGAAATTTACAACTTATGAAAACTTTTTTTTAATCTTTATAGCCTAATTTTGATGATTCAGCAGCTTCAGATGAGGGTTCAAAGTTACAAAGCACTGTTTCAACTAAACTACCTCAAATTCAATTCTATCCTGAACCCATGTCGACTACAACACATGGGTTAAGACGGTTGCATTCGTATCCTTCTGGTTCCGATACAGATCAAGATAACGAAAAGATATCAACAGGTAATTCAGATATATTTCTTAGATTTATAACTTTCATTACAAATAAGGAAATCATTACAGGAAAACCTCCATTGCCCGAAAGAAATTCGGAACTTCTGTTGAGATATGGCCAAAAGAAACTTCCTCCACCACCGCCACCAAGAACCTCATCAAATCGTAGCCCATTAGAATCTCCTACATCTCCAAGTATGGTCCTAAAAGCTTCCGAACAGCAAAACATGTTTAATAGCGGTAATTCGAAGGGTAACATTCAAAATGATCCTGATTCGGGAAGTGAATCAAATAATTCACAAGATAATAGTTCACAGCGTCAGATGCAGTTGGAAAATCGTCATAAAGAATTATTAAAGAAACAAAAGCAACTGCAAGAACAATATCAGCGATTGCAACAATTGAATAAAAGTTCAATTCCTTTAATTTCAAATGATGCTAATGCAAATGCTCCGAAAGGTAATTCAGAAAATTCCGAGAAGACTTCTGAAAACATCATAATGCATCCTCAGTCATCAGTTAGTACTAATAAAGTTTATGAAACTGATATACTTTAACACAACCATGTTAAGCAATGGAAACAATCTGAATTTTTGTAATATTTATAAATGTTAATGAGTACTTAGATATTTGATACTTTTTTTAATCCAAGTTAATTTAGAATTTTATTAGATAACACAACATTAAAGCGATGCCCGAAAAATTATCAAAAACTAAGCTCGAATATTTTGTCAGTCATGTAAATCAATTCAAATCATGATTTTTTGACATATTTGAACTGCGTTAGATTTGATTTTTGTTTTGTAATAAATTAATGGAGATACCAATTTCAATTTATTAAAAAGTTTTCTTTCTCTCGAATTTTTTTATTTTGAAATGTTTCATTAATAAAATTAAATTTATTATGTTCAATGATTGGTGCACTATAAAAATTGCATGAAATATCTACTTCTATGCTAGAACTCATATCATTTAAAGAAAATCTCAAAATGTATTAATTTATTTAATTTATTTTTTTGTTTTGAGAATCTCAAATCAAATAAATTATTTTATTAATCATAAGTTAATTTGTTATGTATACTTAATTACTTATCTGTTATCAATGTTATCATTTTATAGTTTTATAAATCTT